TGGCCTCAGATATGGCCATATATTCTGATTCAGTGCTTGAAAGCGCTACTGTACGTTGCTTTCGAGCTTCCCAACATATCGCTGCTCCTGATATAATGAACGCATACCCTGAATATGAACGTCTATCGTTTAAGTCAGCGCCCCAATCAGCGTCAACCAGACCATACAATTCTTCATTGTCTTTCTCATACAATAGACCATAGTTGCTTGTACCTTTAAGGTATCTTAGAATTCGTTTTGCTGCTTTCCAATGTTCCACGTTATAATTTGAATTGAACTGGCTAAGAAAGTTTACAGCAAACGCAATATCAGGTCGAGTTGTAACAGCTAAGTACATTAATGCTCCTATCAAGCTTTGATAGGGATACATCTTCATAACACCTTCATCAATTTTTGTTGGTTTCGTTAACTTAATGTTCAATTCTATGGGAGTCTTCACTGGTTTACAGTCTTTCATATTGAACTTTTCAATGATGCTTTTTGCATACTTCTCTTGTGAAAGAAAAACTTGATGCTTGCTTAAATTTTGATGAAACTCGATGCCAAGACAATTACTTACTATTCCCAAATCCTTCATTTCGAAATCATTCGCAAGTGCAGCCTTTATTTCTTTTATACGAAACTTATTATTGGACGCTATTAGTAAATCATCGACATATATTGTCATCAAAACAATGTCGTTGCCTTCTCGCTTAGTGAATACACAAGGATCCTGTTGTACTGCACTTAGACCCATATTCTGTAGTTTCTTTGTCAATTTCATGTACCATGATAGCCCAGACTGACGGAGTCCATAAAGAGCTTTCTTTAATAAACATACAGGTGACTTACTTGATTTAATCGCCTTTAACCAATGCTGCGCTGTTTCTTTAACTTTTCCACACAATATTGTTGAAGTTTTTCCCACTGGTTTTAATGAAACAACTTTGTTCAGGAATGGTATAAGATAATCGGGAATTTCCATGAAGACACTCTCTTCGAGCTCTCCATTTAGGTATGCTGTAATGACATCCATCTGATGGATCTCCAAATCCATTTTTGCTGCCAGTGCCGCAAGTAGTCTTATAGATGTTGAACGAGCGACTGGAGAAAACGTATCATGAAAGTCTTCACCTGGTCGTTGTGCAAAACCCTTCGCTACTAATCGTACTTTCTGTTTTCCGTCATCTTTAGTTCGAAGCACGAATCTATTCCCAATAACTTTTCGTGATTTCGGTCTTTCGACCACTTCCCATGTTTTATTCTTTAGTTGTGCCACCATTTCGTCTTCTAGCGCTTTTGACCAGGAATTTGTTTCATCGCTTTCAAGTGCCTCCAAAATCGTTACTGGAGTTTGATATGTAGTGAGAAACGCCATTTCACAATCTTCAAAAACGTTGTTGTCAGGTTCATCATCTGAATGGTTTTTATCAGCAATTTTTCTTACTGAACTTGTATTTTCGTCTTCGTTGGATGATTCTTCACCATTCCGATTTGACGTGTAATATTCTTTTCGAGGCCTACCGCGTGAATTTGTGCGAATAAGTCTCGGACGACCTCTTCTACGAATGGAGTTTTCTTCTCGCGTATCTGTATTTTCTACAATTTTCGGATTGACCGACAGTTTCTGATTTTCACAATTTTCGAACGCAATATCGATATAATCATTTGTTTGGCAGTCGTTTTCATTGTTAATATAAATGTTTTCGTATTTATTATGATAGATATTTTTGTTTACGAACACGACATCACGGCTTATTGTTATATTTCGTTTTGTAGGTGACCACAGCCGATAGGCTTTCGCTTCGTTTGAATATCCAACAAACATGTAAGGTTCTGACTTAGAATCGAATTTATCTCTAGTCTTATCCTTTTTTAGGACATATGCTTTAGAGCCAAATACTTGAAAATGTACAATAGTTGGCATTTTACCAGTCCACAACTTGTGCGGTACTACACCGTTCAATGCTTTTGTAGGACACCTATTTCGAATATAGCACGCTGTATTTATGGCCTCTGCCCAAAAATTTGGCGGAACTTCAGCTTGTTTCATCATGCAACGGGCCATTTCAACTAGAGTTCTGTTTTTACGTTCAGCAATACCATTTTGCTCCGGCGTATATGGAGCAGTTAAGCGTCTTTGTATACCAAATTTCCTCAAGAATAAATTAAATTCAGAATTAACGTATTCTCTACCATTGTCTGATTGTAAAGCCTTAATTCGTTTACCCGTAAATGTTTCTACTGCTCTTTTGTATTGCTTAAATACATTTAATACATCGGATTTTTGTTTTATAAAATATACATGACAATAGCGTGATTTGTCATCAATAAATGTTACGAAATATTTTGCATCCGAATTTGATGCTGTTCTCATTGGTCCGCACACATCACTATGCACGATCTCTAATAAGTCACTTGTTCTAGTTTCTTTACTCTTAGGAAATGGTTTTTGTATTTGTTTTTCACTAATACAAATTTCGCAAGTCGGAAGTTTTTGTTTAGGATTTAATTTTAATCCGTGTACTAGGTTATTACTAGCCAATTTTTTAAGATCGTTTTCATTTATGTGGCCCATTTTCTGGTGCCACTTTTCAATGTCACATTTTTCTTCAGCAACTTGTGCAAAATGATTTTTATTTTCAACAATAAAAAGATTTCCACATCTTTTCGCTCGAGTTATAACCTTCTGATATTTGTCCAATACGATTGCATCTGAAGGGCGAAAATGCACTTCATATCCGCTGTCTACTATTTTTGATACAGAAAGTAGACTTGTACGCAAGTCCTCGACATATAGAACTTCTTTAAGATCAATGTTATTATCACGACCGTATACGTCTACAGTTATTTTCATTTTACCGACGCCGTTTATATTTGTTGTGTTGTCGTTTGCTAAGTTAAGCACTTTATTCGATTTTTGAAAGTCTGTAAAATATTCACGGTTTGCACTTAAATGGGCAGTACATCCACTATCTAGGCACCAATAATTGTCTTTTATTGAGCTAATAAATGCATCTTCAACATGATAGCTAAAATTATTGTTTACAGATTTTTCCGAATTTTTCAATTGCGTGTTATTTTCAGCTTTTGCTTTATTTTTACATTCACGTGCAAAATGTCCGATTTTGCCACAATTAAAACATTGTTTGTTTCGTTTAGAATCACTGTATCGTTTGTTTTGTTTTGCGTTTCGGCTTTTATTTCGATTTATGTATAGAGAGTTTTCATCACTATGTCTGTCTTCTTTTGTCCTTTGCGATTCAGCTTCTTCTAATATTTTCACTCGAAGTATGTCTGGCTTTGGCAGCTCGTCGCGCGTTTCTAACGCGCACCTGAAAATATTAAAAGAGTCGGGTAGGCTATATAGGAGCAGTATGGCCAGAAGCTCATCCCCGATGGTGACGTCAATTTCCTTTAATTTTGCCACGGCTTCAAAAAATCGTTGAGGTGCTCTCTAACCTTTTCACCCTCCTTCATGCGCGAAAGTGCAACCTTTTTCAGCAACGTCGCCTTGCGCGCAGGCCCTTTTGATGAATATGTGGCTTGTAGTTTCATCCACATTTCGTTTGAATTTGTGCATTCTGCAATTAATCTTAATTCTGATGCACTTACTGATAACATTATATCAGCGCACGCTTTCTGATCAAAGCTGATCCATTTTGCAGCCGCTTCGCCCGTTGGACACGACGCAGTACCTTCGACATATGACCATAAATCGTTTTTTATGAGAATAGCTTTCATTTGTAATTTCCATGTATCGTAGTTTTCCGCGTTAAGCGGTTCAACTCGAATCACCGTTCCCGACATTTTTATACACGTATTAAATCTACTTTTTATGTGCACGTGCTTTTTACTTCGCAGTGGAAGCGTGCTGGGCCCATAACCTATTATATATTTTTAGCAAAAGTGAAACACGGTCCGATGTATTTTTAACATGTTCTTTACTTCGCTTTATTAACTATACTAAAAATGAATAATGAATAATAATTACAAAAGGAATATAGAATAATGACAGGCCAGAGTTGCCAGGCAATTAATATTTAAAAAGTACTTTACATAACAACAGATCATAATGTATTTTATATTAGGTCTGTTCCACGAGCTACTCATAGTAACTTTGAGTAAACACTGTGTATACACAAGCGCGTTCCACCAGCAAATTTTCAAGTATTTTTGTGTAAATTTTACTTCTGTTTTACTCATGGTTTACTATGAGTAGCTCGTGGAACAGACCTATTATTTATATTCAATACACTGCTCGCTAAAAGATTTGAACTAGTTAATATGGCGTTTACACTGGGCTCACATGAGTGATTTGGGTCAAAAAATACAAATGAGAAGCAAATGACTGATTTCTGCATACAAAATCTCATATGCGCATATGAGATCCTAATTCGCGCAATGGATCTCGTTTTGTAGAAATGAGTTCCAACGAGTTTCCAATGAGTTCCAAATGCAAATGAATACATTGAACATACCCTAAATAAAAGTTTTTCATGGAATTTTGACAGTTTGAGAAAGCTGTTTTCGACATATTTACAAACAAAGGTAAACAAATATTTGGTGGTTAAATTTCCTTGAAAACAATGCACTTCTTTTTGGAACTTCTACATCCCAAAAAGTACTTAGTCGAAGCTAAAGTTTTCCGGTTTTATTGGAAAATTTAAAGGTATATTTTACTTTCATCCAACATTTTTTTGGCACAGGCCAAAAATCAAATCAACAGGCACGTTCAAAAATTAGCTATTGGAAATGAGAACAAATGAATAATAACGATTGTATATTGTAAACACTTTTAAATGACTGATTTGAAATGAGTCATTTACGGCCAGTGTAAACGCCATACAAGTCCAAAAATTTTGTTCATGCTTAAGAAGTTTCTTAATAAGACAAAACAAATGTGTTCACGTAATCCAGCGTCACGTGTACCAGTGCACACGTTTTTGAGCGAGTACTGTATATCGATATTTCTTAAAAAAACATAATAAAATATTATCATCTCTAACGTAAGAAACAGATGAAATTCTATCATCACTAGCGCTTATCAGTTCAGGTGCTTTATCTTAATTCAGAAATGAAAGAAAGTACACAAGCAGTTTATTAGTTGCAGAATTTATTGTCAGTTTATGTAAATCTCTTCATAAGTAAAGATGTTACGTTTACGACAATTCTCGTATGTTTACCATAGAAATATTCTTAGATCTATGGCAACGGCGCCCGGTAATAATGACGATTCCACTTTGCCTCCAAATGAAACACATCCAATTAAACGCACTTTGAAGCTATTTCAAAAGGATGGTAGAACAATAAAAAAGTTTTTTAAAACATCTTTTACAAAAGCGACTTCTAACAATGAAAGTCAACCAATGCAACATATTAACTTAAAGAAAAATGAGCACAAGGAATACACAGGAGACTTTCAATCACATTGTGACATTCTTGTGATCGGAGGTGGTGCTGTGGGATCATCGATAGCTTACTGGCTAAAAAGTAAAGCGCGTGATGGTCTTAATGTTGTTGTAGTTGAGCGGGATCCTACGGTATTACATTTAAATCGTGATTATAATAAAAATAATTATTTTATAATTTTATTTTATTTTCCAGTATAAGCAAGCTTCGACGGTTCTTTCAGTAGGTGGACTACGACAACAATTTTCACTTCCAGAAAATATAGAAATGTCGTTGTTTGGTGCTGATTTTATTCGAAATGCCAAAGATTATCTAGGCGATGTGGATCTCAGTTTTATGCCTTATGGTTACTTAACGCTAGCAACTGAAAAGTCTGCCGAAACTCTGAAAAGAAACTCCATGATGCAAAATGGCCTCGGCGCTCGTAATGAAATACTTACAGCATCTCAATTAAAATCAAAATTTCCTTGGCTTAATACAGATGACATAGTGCTTGGTATGTTTAAAATATGTGTGGATAACTTATAAATTAATAAACCAAATCGTATAAATATCTGTTAACACAAGATAACGGCGTAGTAATCTATCATATAATAATATATTTTGCTATATCTTATTTTTAAATTAGCTTGTTTATTTAACACTCAATTGTAGTAAAAGTTTTATAATTGAATCTAATTTCATATCATTTTTAGGTTGCCATGGTCTTGAAAAAGAAGGTTGGTTTGATCCCTGGGCGCTTCTGATGGGTTTGAAAAATAAAGCAAAAATAAATGGTGCTCATTATATAGATGGCGAAGTAGTGAATTTTGAATTTAATAAAGACTCTGACGTTGTTATACGGGGAAATGAACATTCATCGGAAAGTTATGTGGGCCTTGACCGCGCAGTCGTAAAATTAAGCAATGGTGAAACGCGTTCCATAAAATTTGCTATATGTATTTTGGCTGGAGGAGCAAATTCAGGACAAATTGCCCGCTTAGCTAGAATAGGAACTGGTCCAGGTTTGCTGGGAGTTCCATTACCTGTCGAACCTAGAAAGCGGTACGTATATGTTATTAATACTCAAGGTGAAAATGCTCCAGGCCTGTGTACACCGTTAACTATTGATCCCAACGGCACCTACTTCCGACGCGATGGACTTTGTGGCAATTACATATGTGGACGTAGTCCCAGTGAAAGTGCCGAACCTGCAACTGACAACTTAGATGTTGATCACGAATATTTTGAAACAGACGTTTGGCCAACTCTATCAAATCGCGTTAAAGCATTTGAATCGCTAAAAGTTTGTGGTAGTTGGGCAGGATTTTATGAATACAATTTATTCGATGAAAACGGCATAATTGGTCCACATCCATATTATATCAATATGTATATAGCAACAGGCTTTAGCGGACATGGTATACAACAAGCTCCAGCAGTGGGGCGTGCCATATCGGAATTAATTATAGATGGACAATACCGTACCATAGATTTAACTAGGTTAGGTTTCGATAGAATACTTGTAGATCAACCAATGCTTGAGACGAACATATTTTAGCGGTCTATTGCAGCTTCAGTTGTTACATTTTGCATGTTAGATACTAACTTTTATTTGTAGACTAAATTAATTAGATCAAAAAAAAATATTAAATTGTTTTCTCTAATTGTTGAAATTTAGTATTAATGGATATTTTGTACATGTACATATATAAAGTAAAATCTTTCTGAGATTAGCTTTGTTTATAAAACAAACATTTTGTGGTTTATTCAATTTGAACAGATTTGTCTCAGACTGAAAATAAAATAATACCAACACACATATTTGCATTTTTATTGTCATATATTTATTCAAACACCTCCACATGAGCGGTTTATTATATAATTGGTTTTAAGTGGCCACTTAAAGATTTGTTTTCGTATAAAATAAGATAACCACATTTTGCAGTCAATTGTGTGCACATATTCATTTATTCATAATTATTTTATTAAATATACCCTTCAAATATTTAACTAAAAAGAATTTTTGCTATATTTATACAAACTTTATTTACTTAAATTTAATTTATATTTAAATTACAAGATAATTTGAATTAATTTTTAATATTAATCGAGTATCCAAAAATAAGTTGTTTTAGAGAAAATGACTGAGACGCTTATCGCAACGCTTTTTTGAAGTAAATATTACGTTAGCTGGCTTGTAGGTTTGTAGCAGACGTTTCTCTGACGGAGCAATGTTGAAACTATGTTTGGCTTGTTCTAAAATTGTATGTGAAATCGAAGTCTTCAAATTCCGTGATATCATTCTTCAATAACTTGCTTCAGCCGTTCACATTGTCACACTATGCGGTGATAACTTTAAATAGATGATAGCCTAGCAATCCAATCGAACACACAGTATCATATTAATCCTGGCGCAGCTACCATTTGTAAAATTTAATCTTTTTTTGGCAAGGTGTTAAAATTGATTTGTTATTATACTGCTTGATAAGTTATTTGTATATGAATCAGTGCTACATCAAAATTTCCAATTAGTTTAATTGATTAAAAAACACCTCAGCATTAAGGCATCTAAGTAATATCGAACCTTATTTCCATTTTTTTTCAAAGTTCAAAACAGAGAAGAAAAAGAGCAAAAAGCGTATATTAAATCCAAATTTGTTCAAAATTGTTTACAATGGCGTGTTTCCTCAAATCTTTGCCACTTTTTTCTTTTTGTCATATTAAAATTGTAAAATAAATAAAAATTTAGTAATCATCAGTTTATATTAACTTTTAATACAAAACAAAAAAAAGAGTTTTCATTTTAAAGTTATGGAATTCTAAAGAAAATATAGAATAGAGTATAAAAACGCAGCAATTATTATTTAATCAAATAAATTTCATTTAATTTTCATATTTTATTTAGACTATTCTACTTTTATTTGATTTGATTTGATACCAAAAATTAAATTCAATTACTCTTATATAAATTAATGTAAGGTTTTATAAACGAAAAAAAATTTCATTCCAATAACTTAAGATCTTTGTTTTTTGGCCTTACAAATAATATATCCTCCGATAGTTGTTCTTTGATATATATTGAACGTTTGTAGCATTTGTAACAACAAAACTTTTTACTATTCGTTATGTCATATACTTTACAATCTTCGATCACATACTTTTGAGCGGGAATGCTAAAATTTTTTAAAAATTATTAAAAAATTTCTATTTAAAACACTTTGCAATTGCTTACTTCGTTAGTTTTTGAGAACATAAAGGATAGCCGCAAACTTTGAGAATAAAGCGTTCCTCGACAACATCATCGAAGTGACATTGCGCCAAATCGTTTAGCTATAAATAAAAACAAAACATATTTTTTTAGTAAACTGCGAAACTTAACAAAATTACTTAAAAATACCATATCACGCTCATATTGTTATTAAACGATATTCAATGTATAAGCTAAGCACCTTAACAAGAAGATCGCCAGGAGCTATACCAGGCTCTAAAAGAAACTCCACGGCATCAACTGCTTTGCGAAGAAGCAGCTTTCTTTCTTTTTGGCATTCATCATGAACACAACTAGAAAGCAAGTATTTAATTAATTTATTATAAATAGTAAAACAAGGCAAACAATATTACGTTTTGTTTATGGAGCACATTTGTTTAATAAATATTTTAAGGAATAGAAAACAAAACAACACGCAAAATTACGTTTTACACAGTTCCAAGGAACGCTAAAGATTGAAACATTGTGGAATTATACCTTAATAATTTTTTGATCATTTAAAACCTCAAACACTCATTAAACAAGTCTGGCAACGATCTTTCAACTCACCCTTAAACTCACCCAACTCACACTTAAAAATCTAGCGAAAGATCGTTTGAATGATCTTTTGTATTCAGGCAGTGATCTTCATTAAGACTTAATGAAAGATTTGCTATTGATCAGATCTTTTGATTGCCAGTTAATAGTTTGTTTGTGTTTTTCGTGTACAAACTTTTTTTTATATAAAATAATATACATAAAAATTGATAATTAATTCATTAATTAAATTTTGTAAAAATGGAATAATTATTTCTAATTTAATATTTAATACGGCGCAAACGTAAATGTATTGATATACTATACTGTCTTTGTAAAAATTTTAAAATATATATTTTATTTATTTATACATAATATATATACTTTATATAATTATTTATAATATATTTAGTTTAAAATATATTTAAATTCTAATATTTATTTTACATTGATTTATTTATTTATTTATATATATTTAAGCTATAATTTTAAAACTTATTAATTTTTTTTCTTTGCCGCTGCAGCAATAACTGCCAATATTTCTTTCATGACATGAGTTGAATACAGAAAATAATTATTTACATATAAGTAATTCTAATAATAATAGAACATACATCTTGCGGTTTCCCATTACAATTCTATTAAAATTCAATTATTCACTTGCATGCGATGGCGATAAGCAGCTCTTTTCGATTTCACCATGAAATAGTTAGAACAACTTTCTACCACGCATTACAAATAACTAAACTTTACAAATAACTACTACACATTAATGTGCAATTAAATTTTGACGTTTCTCTGGTTTAGCTTGGTTTTTTATAAAACTTGTAAAAACACTATAATAATATAGAGATTGTGCTATTATATATAATTTTTATTTTTAAATAATTAATATAATAATATATTATTCTAAATACTTTTTGAATTCTTAATTCACTTTATACTTTTAGTAAGTATAAAGACTATGTTCAGACATACATTAATATGGGAAAAATCTTAATTTCACCTTCGTTTCAGCGAAATTAAGTGGTTTTTTTCATACAAAAACTTTGTTGAAACAATGTCGGATGATAAAGGCTAATTATCAATTAAGGAAAATGTCAAATGCAATTATACAACATATAAATTTTAAGCAAAAGATAAGTTAAGATAACGAAAAAGTGACATTTATTTTTAAAACAGCTGACTTTAATAAAACCGATAAAATATTTAAAAAGGAGTGCAAATTTTTAAATTTGAATATAGATAGAAAAACTGTGATTGTTATTAATATATAAAGTGAAAAATAATAATCCACATACCTGAAATCCACTAAAGCTAATAAAACTACTGATCAAATTAACTTATATGGCGTTTACATAGGCCGAAAATGAAAGTGTTTACATTCGTTGTATTTCTTTCATCCTCATTTCAAACAGCTGATTTTTCAACTCGCCTCTTGATTTGATTTTTGGCCTGTGTCAAAAAAAATGTTGTATGAAGATTAAATATCCATTAAAACCTTACAATATAAATTTAAAATGTATTTTTAACTTCGATTAATTACTTTTTGGGAAGTTGAAGTTCTAAAAAGAGGTTTATCGTTTTCAAGGAAATACAACCACCAAACATTTGTTAACCTTTTTTTGTAAATATGTCAAAAACAGCTTTTTTAAACTGTCAAAATGCCATGAAGAGCTTTTATTTAGGGTATGTTCAATGTGTTCCTCTGTATTTGGAATGCATCCGAAGGTAGTTGGGACGCATCCATACAGAATGTATTGAAATGGAATGCATTCGCGTTTGAAATTTTATATGCAAGAATGAGCCATTCGCTTCTTATTCTCGATTTTTGACCAAAATGAGCCATTTTCAGACAGTGTAAATGCCGTATTAAATTCATTTTAACAAAATTAAGGAAATTTGGCTGTCTGTACATAGTATAAAGTATTCAATTAATTTATAAATAACAAAATATTTTATTGTTGTGATTTACTACAGAGACGATTTAAAATATCTCTCTATTGAAAACAATAGTTTTTATTAAGAATTTAGTTTCGTTCGTCAAGATTAATGTTAAAAATCAACTTTTCAATTATTGCTAAAATTTTAGTTTTCAATTTACCCTGTATATTATAATCAAACGTTCCGCATTTTCTGTTGAAAAAAAAAAACAATTTGTTTATGTCAGATATTCTATTATTTTTGTTTAAGAAACAATTATTCAGTAATAATTTCTAACAGTTATAATGGTTTGTGAAAAATGTGCATCAAAGCTCTCAAAAATAGCTACATCGGATCCATTTAGTGGTTCACAATTAAAAGCTGGAGGTCGTAAAGTCAACGAAAATAAAGCATTAAGCGCAGCAAAAGATCGTTTACAAAGTGTTTCGAAAATATTGCCACCGTGCCGGTCTGTATATTTAAAAAAGAAAAACAATTCTTGAGTGTTAACGTTTTAATTAATTTTACAGAATTTGTCGTCAGAAGGTTCATCAATCTGGTTCACACTACTGCCAATCTTGTGCTTACAAAAAAGGCATATGTGCGATGTGTGGAAAAAGACTATTAAATACAAAATATTACAACCAAAGTGCAACTTGACTACAATATACAATCTTTATTTAAAATAAATTTATACAATTATAAGTACTTATATTAAAATAGTAAGCAGCAACTATTAGCTATCTTTGGTGTTAACTTTTATCGTTTCTTTATCATCTTTATCCTTGTCTTTTTTCTTCTTGTTAGAAGTAGCATAACTTAAAGCATCCTTATCAAATTCTAAGGGCATAATACCCAGATCACCAGTGTAACGGTTTTTAACTATTTGCAAATACTTTTTCCCCCGCACTGAGGTCAAACGTTTATCTTGTATTATAAGAACATTATCGGCCTCTTGTGTAGCTTTCGCTCCACCAAATACTGAACTTGTAGTTAATTCATCTTCATCCCGTTCTTTCCGTGGATGCATAACAAGTGTGACATGAACATTACGATTCGTTGCGAATGAACGAAATGCAGCAATGACAGCATCTTGTTCCCAAAATTTGTCCAAACGATGGGCTGATGATATTCCCATCATAAACTGCAGATTGTCAATTATAACATGGTTTATATCATGCACATATTGAGCATGTTCGATGGCTTCCATAACCACTTTTAATTGTTGCTGCCCATGAAAAGTCATGAAATATAAGGGATGCTTTTCAAATTTACTTGCCCAATGATCGAATTCATTTAATTTATTTTCTAGAGAATACCCTACGTACTGACGCAGTAGGGTTGATGCTAGTCTTGTGTTACGAATTTCAAAAGAGCCCCATAATGTCGACACACCTTGCACAGCCAAATCTAACGAGTACTCGCTCATAAAAGTAGTTTTGCCACTGCCTGTTGGACCGGTTATAATAGTCAACTCACCTTTACGATGACCTTTAAGTAATTTGTTCAAAATAGGAAAACGTTTCCATTTCACACCATTTACCTTTTCAACATTTTGTAACTCGCTTAAAATATCATTACGCAGAGCGCCAAAAGTAATTATAGATTTATGAGAAATTGTCGTCGCTTTCTGTATTATAAGACGTAAGTTGAGACGCTTCTTATGAGCTTCTAACGGTGATGGTTCAGTTTCAGTAGGACGAATTAATAGACACCGCTTCATGTCTAGTTTGTTTGAAAACGTTCTGGGTGCATCCCAACCCGTCGAGTCCAGTTTAAACCAAAAAATGATTTCCTTAAAACGCTCCAACCTTGGTAAGCATTCCTGTGGTAGAGTCTTTAACATATACGGCAAACAAATAACACAATCTGTAGTACAAATAAGAGTCAAAATATTTCAAATGATTGAATGAATTATCTCACAATTTTCTAAACGCTGCATTACAAGTACTAAAAAATCCATTAAATTAGAAACCAAAATGGCTTTGTTTTTATTTGCCGGTCCATAGATAAGCAGACCAGAACGTAAAGAGTTTTGAAAAACGTCCTCACTTTTACTTGACACATGCAGGGATTTTTCACCGGTAACAATGCCGCCTTCATTTCTAAGAGGAAATATAAGTGTATTGCATTCGGAACTATATTTTGCATCTAAAGCATTCAAATCTGCAACTTTGAGTCCCGGAATGCGCAACTCATCGCATACATCTTGCGTAACATTAGCAGGTTTATTGAACTGAGAAATATATATCTCTTTAGTAAGGTCAGCTTTATTTAACTGTTGACCTTTTTCATAAAGATTCGCAGCTAATGGCAACGGCTTTAAAACATCACAGCCAGGACATAAAAATGCGCCTAATGATAAAATAACCAAACTTTATGGTTCAAACTTTCAAAGCAAATATATCCAACCTGTGCGTTTGTTTACATAAGCGGTGTGGTTCTGTTCGCACAAACGACATTGCAACTGCAAGCACGTGGGACCGTCTTTGTATGGAATTTTATTAACTCGCAGATGCTTTTTGAAATCAGTTAAGTGTTTCACGTCCAAATCACTGACGTCTACATCCACTTGAACGCTGGAGTTGCGGGATGGTTGGAAAAGCCTTCTACAAACACTCCTAATTCGACATCTGTTCGCAAATGATACCAGTGTGAATTTACCGGTTGCAAGCATTTTCGCGGCAATGTATGTCAAGCATTTACATACAGGATGAGTATTTTAAAAAACTTTTACTCACAGGGCGTTCATTACTCACATTTCATGTGGCGAACGTTTACTTGATAATGTATGAAAAATGTATAGTATGTAAGCTTATGGGCCATGTGACCCATTACTCTAGTTTGGACTACAAGAAGTAGTTCAAACATTAGTGGCATTTTATGAACGGCACAGCAACAAATACAAATACAATTGCGCCATTTAAACAAAATACCATTGTATGACGTTACGACTGAAAAGCAGTCAACTCATATGGTTGCCAAGTCTTTTAATATAAAGCAAACATATATTTTTTTTAAAAATACAATTTAAAAATGAATTTCGACAAACTCTGCAAAACTTTAAAGGAAATTATAAAGCATCATTGTTACATTTCTTTCGGTTGCATACGCTTTGTGGTTTTAACGAAAAATACTTGTAAGTGCAATCAAAATTATTGTTGGATTTAAGGATGTTCAACACAATACAGGGGTGCATTTAAAATTTTGCACAAACTTCATCACATGCTCCGTATCGCTGCCTACACTGACAAAAGTTTGGCACGATTTTAATGTTTCAACACAAATTTATATTAGGTCTGTTCCACGAGCTACTCATAGTAACTTTGAGTAAACACTGTGTATACACAAGCGCGTTCCACCAGCAAATTTTCAAGTATATTTGTGTAAATTTTACTTCTGTTTTACTCATATTTTACTATGAGTAGCTCGTGGAACAATATTATTTTATATTTGAACTAAAACAAAGCACATAAATAATCATGCAAAAATATCAAGAGACGTACAAAATTCAAATACGTTACTGTGAACACTACAAATGAGAGAGTAAGCAGAAGTGAGATTTTTCACATTCATGTTTTGAGCAATTTATTTGGAAAAATGCTTAACCACTTTTCCTACTGGAAAGGTTAAAAAAAATTAAATCAGTAGCTGCGCTAAGAGCAGCTTACTCTTATTTACTAATAATTTTAATCGAATGCTTTCGCTGTGCAAGATATGCGCCCATGCGCATCCAGTCTTCGAGACATGTCGCAAAATGTCTTCGAAGACATTTGTCTAATTTGTTCGAAAATATCTTTGAAGACCGTCATATATTTGGATTAATCGGTCTTCAGGCATGTATTCATGTCTTGAAGACATCTTCGATGACGGATCAATCTGTTTCCTACTGGATTTATATGGTACTCTAGAAAAGATTATAAAAAATTATATTTATTCATTATGTGCACTTTTTCTTACCTTATTTATTAGGTCGGTTCCACGAGTTACTTGTAGTAAAACTCAAGTAAAACACAGGTAAAGTATAAACTGAGAGCGCAACACAAATAAAGTGCCAAATTATGCTCTTTACGCAGATTTTCATGGAATAGATTTGTGTGAAGTCTGGTGAGAACGCTAGTGTCGCGCAAATAAATAATTTAAAAAATTTAAATTCAAACTAATACAATTTATTCACACATCAACACAAATTTTACTTGATATAAAATGTACGAGTGAAGCCTGTGTAGCATTTTTAATTTTCAACAGGGATGTTACGCTCTCTCAGATGTTCTCATTTACTCGAAAATTTTCTGGCGCTCTTGTGTATACACAGTGTTACTCAAAGTTACAACGAGTCGCTCTTGGAACAGACCTAATTATTCATTCTCATTTTAATGTGTATTTATAGCAGTTGCTTTCATAACCTTTTTTGTACTATCAAATATAAGTTTAAATATATATTATATATACCGATTCATGTATTTACAATGTTATATAAAATAAATACTATATACAATGTTAAATTATTTTAATAAATCATTCATTTATTTTTAACTAACTGCAAAGAAAAACTGGTACCAGCCACAAATGCTACAGACTGCATTCAAGTTGTTTTTGATATTTGTATTTAATTTTTAAACACAATAAACAGCAATTAGTAATAACATATAAGGTGAAACAAACACAAATCACATAGAGTTCACATCAATAATATGAAATAGTTGTATTTTTTCTTGTTTGTTTTAAAGTAGATGATAATTAAGCAGGATTAAGACTGTATCATTTTTACCGTACGACTTTTTATTTTGGTTGTTTTCACAATATTATTTTCTTTTATTAATATTAGTTTGTATTGATTTTAAAACTTTGAAAGTAAATGTACTGTTGCAACTAAGAATTTTAAATACGTAATGAATCATTTCGTTACGGATAACATTTTTAAAAGTTAATTATAAACTTAGCGCGGTTATAAATACCGGTGTTCAAATCATTGACCACAACAGAGCTGCAAAGTGAAATTTTTTTAAATTTTTACGTTTAAGAACTGGAGTAATACATTTTTGAATAAAATGTAAGAATAAAACAAAAGTTAAATGTATTCATGTGTTTTGAAATTTATATAGAAATTTGTTATATTTTTGATTGTGTTGCCCACTGCTTATTGTAAACATATAATAAAATAATAATAATTTAAATAAATATAAAAATAATAAATAATAATTATAAAAATAAAGAAATTAATGAAATAAAATTATGCATTCAGACAAAAATTATATATCAAACTAAATAGCCAGATAATCTGACTAAATCAAGAGCTAAGTTCTAAGAATGCCAGCGGAATTATTTTTTTGCCAGTGCTGTGAAATATTTCAAAAAATTTTAACTCATTTTGCTGTAATCCATATTTGTTCCAATATTTTTAAAATTCTACGTAAATCAAATTTAACACTTTAAGAAAAATAATAATAGAAGTATTTATGAAGTTTAGTAAAAAAGGCAAATTCATATGACCGTCCGTATAACATACTTGAATCAAAAACTATGCTGTTATTTTAAATGAATTTAATATATATTTTAATTTTAAATTTATTTAAAATAAGTAAACAAAAAAATATACAATTGCCTATCAACAATCGTTATAAATTTTTTTAGTTAATGCGATTCCAAACATATAAATGTTACAAATATTAAATAATATATTATGAATCTTAGATAATCTCTATTATTAACGATTAGTTATTAACAATTAATTAACGTAAATACATTGTGATTCACAGCAATGTTAAAACATATAACGTCATATTAGCTGTAATTTTTTCTGTCAGAGTAGAAAAAAATACTGGCAACTTACGAAAGAAAACATGTGAAGCAACAACAATGCTCTTACGTCTTAAGCTTCAGTGCAGCCAAATTCAAAAATCAGTCTGTTGTGAGTGTTCACGGTAAATATGTTTCAAAATTCTAGTCGTTCGTATCATATCATATTTACACAACAAAAAACATATGTCAAACAAAAGCATTCAACATATATTAAAAGTGCTGCCAATTTCTTTCCTGCTTTGAAAGAAAAAATTACTATTAATTCACCTTGGTCTTGAATTAAAAATTTTTACAATTATCAGCTGATATATTTTGAATATATTAAATGTTTAGTAGAAACATGTATTAAATGCAATTATACCACCTTTGCTTTGGTTTGTGGAAAATTTAATCATATTAAAATCTGAATGAATATATACATATATGCTTTGTACGCCCGATAATGTCAATGACGCCACCTATGACATTTGTAAATATTGTTCCACTGCGATGAACACCTGGCCTATGCATAATCATTTCCATGACGAAATTGAAAAGATCACTTTGTCTGTAACCTTGCGCGATATCAAAAGGTTTAGAGAAATTCGAACCTACCGGAGCTACGGGTATTGCTTAAAGTCATTCTACAGAGTTGTTTAACTTTGCAGCGACACTGTACTCAAACTTTGCAGTGTAAACGCGATTCCCTATGGGGCTATCAAAAGCAGCTTTATAATCAACAAAAAATTTAAAAGAATTAACTATAGCGTGTTGCGACGTCTTCATTGAGAAATCTACAAGGCAACTCTGGCAAAAATAGTTAAAAGTTTTTCGAAAGATATTTGAGAGATAGAACGAAAGACACTTTGAAAGATTTTTGCTACTTTGCTATAAAAGCATTTCAAAGAAAGTTTTATCATTTGTTATTCGTGATAAAAAGCTATTTTGTGCTATTACTTTCCTGAGGAAATCAAAACAGCTGTTTCGGTACCACTTGCAACTTAAAAATTTAAGTTGAATTTAAAACTGATGATAGGCCGCAGATGTGTGTTTCATTATTTTTATTTATACATATGTATATAATTAGTTATTAAAAGTCTATCAATTTTAATTTCTCTTTTAAAAAAATGGCAGCGGCTTTAAACACATTAAGCACAGAAGTGACACAACACAAAAAATGTGTTAGTTTTAAAATTATAGCTTAAAAAATATATAAGTTTTTGAATTTATGTACATATAAAGTAAATATTAATACATTTACGAATTCAATGCCGTATTATAAACGAAATTAAAAACAACACGCCTACCAGAATACAAAACATCTTTCGAAAGATTTTTGAATATGATGAACTAGAAAATAATTGCTAGAATTGCCCTGTTAATTAATATCAAGACGAGTTTTTAACAATTACCACTTTAGATTATGTTTTGCAATGTTTTGGTTGGTTTGCTATTAATTAACATCTTGAAAATGTGATATAGAATATATTCGTCAAATTTTTAACCTGAACTAGTTTGAAAATAGTTTGAATAGATATGACAATTCCAAGAAATATAGACCCGCGTAAACTCTAGGTTAATTAATATACTTTTCAAAAACTTAAACTCAAATAAAATGATTTTAATACAATATTTTTAATAAATAAGCTATATACACATACTATATGAGCTATACAGGCTGTTGGCTAAATGTAATGCCTGTTAGGAATGTGATTTTTTTTTTATATTTTGATTATGATATAATTTTTTTAAATTAATATAATATCATTAATAAAGTCAAAAACAGTGAAAGCGGTGTAAATATTTATACATGCAGGCATTGCTCCAGTATTTATCAGTAAAATGAATATCTAATTTAAAGCAACGAGTATTCATTATTAAAAGTTATTTTTTATATACTTGAACATCTATTATATAATTTCAAGAACTATTGAATATTTGGTAAAAGCTGGCAGTGCTATTCATTAAAAATTTGACATTTGACGTCGCATGTCATTGCCGCCATTGAACGCACCTTGTAACTAAGATGGTCGCCTTGTTTCGCTTGTGCTGTATCTCGTCGGAGTACATTCAGTATTTTTTTTTTAATTTTGTTTAAGAGAGAAATCATTAACGTTAGTAAACAAAATTAAATAGTTAAAATAAAATATATTTACATTGTGGTCTTTATATAATTTAGTTATAGTGATGCGACGTCGCAACGAGAGCAAAAAGTCTTCGGAAGTGTCGCCTGCACCAGCCTCGCGGCGTTCTAGTCGCAGATCACGTAAGTCATTATCTGAAAGTGAAGTAGAAGTGGAGACGCCCGATGTTAAATCCGATATTAATGAAGATGTAGGTATATCAAAGGTAGAGGATTCTGGTGATGAGCGTGTGGAAACACGCCGAAAAGGTCGCAATTCTCGCAAGTGCACACCGGTAAGTGAACGATCAAATAGCGCTAAAAGTAAAACGCAGGTTGCAATAAAAACAGACTTAGATGTTATTGCTGAGGAACAAAATGGGAACATTACCAAAGCTGCTGTAGAAGTAATACAGAAATCAGATTCAATTGAAGAACCAAAACAGTCGGAAATAAATTCAAATATTGAAGAGGGCGAGTTGGAAGATGGTGAAGCGCCTGAAAAAGTAGATATAGATGTTTCTGAGGTAAATAAATCTGAGATAGTTGTTGCTTCAACAGCTAATTCAACAGAAACTATTGAAGATATGCCAACCGAAATTAAAGCTTCTCAGCCAAGCGATGAAGAAAAGTCAACTCTTAATCCCCCAGCATCTGGACAGAATGAGAGTACTAGAAGTACAGATATAACTGATGATTTAAGTGAAATTGATAAATCAGTGCCTAAATCCAAGAGCGAAAATGAAAAAAGTAAACATAAATCTAAACATGATCATGATAAAGTCAGTAAATCAAAATACGATGAAAAAAAGTTAAAGTCAAAGTCAAGTGATGATGAAAATTTGAAGGCTAAACTTAAATCTGACGATAAAACAAAATCAGGTGGTATTGAAAAATCTGAACCAAAGTCTGATAAAAGTGATGAAAAGAAGTCGAAGTCTAATGATGAAAAAGAAGAAGGAGAAGAAGGTAATTCGTTGGATGAGAAATGTAACAATAAATTAAGAGAATGGAATTCTCTCACAAATACTGACATTCAAAGTAAAAGCATAGGACGCCAGTTAAATAATGACGCACCAAGTGCTAATTCACGTGAAACTAATCGTATGCGTAAGCGTCGATGGCTCACTAAAAACTCTGAAGACATTAAAGAACCTATAATAAACATTTCAACTGATTCATTAAAAACCTTGTTCTCGGATGTACAACCAGTACCTTTAAGTGACATTCATTTAGATTCTGCAACAGATAATGAAAAAGAAGAATCAGAACGCGAGGAAGGTGAGGAATCATCTTCGTCAGAACGTGAGGTGATAATAAAAGATAATATCGATAGACCTAAAATACTAAAACGTAGTCAATCTGATACTTATACTGTGAATCAAGGAAATGGAATCAGGAAGTCAACTGGAACTCATAGTCCAGATAGATCAATCTCCAAATATAGTACAATACTTTTCATTACTAACTTGGTGCGTCCGTTCACAGTTATACAGTTAAAAAGTTTACTTGCTCGTACGGGAAAAATTGTTGAAAATGGTTTTTGGATTGACCATATTAAATCAAAATGTTATGTTGAATTCGAGACAGAAGAGTAAGTACTGAAATACATGATTTCATTGTTTTTTTTTTGATCTGCTATTATTTTCAAATTATTTTTTAATTACTTTTAGTGAGGCTATTGAAACAAGACATGCTTTGCATGGCGTGCGATGGCCTTCATCCAATCCTAAATGCTTAGATGTTACATTTGCAACTAAAATACATATAGAAAAAGCAATAGCTTCAACAGCCGCGTCAAACAAGTTTGGACAGGATGCTAAAGAAAACATTATTGTTGGAATTGGTTGGAGTCGAGATCGAAACGATATTGAAGCAAAAAAGGTAATATTTAGAATTTTTAATATAAGTTTTCCTTATCATGCTATTATACATTGTGCATACACTCTATGCATTATATTATTATATTAACAAAAGAACATTTAAAACTTACAACTAATATTTAATATAAGTAATATTTAATATAAGTAATATTTAATATAAGTAATATTTAATATTTAAACTAACAACTAATTAATTTTGTTGTTTAAAAATTTTGATTACTCGCTTATTATTACTGGTAGTATTCATTAAACTGATAACGAAAACAATAACAATATGATTGTTAATTTGACTTTACCACCGTATAAGTCAGTTAGTTTAATTTATCAATGTTAATTTATACCTATACCTATTTTCAATATAATGTCTACGAAAGATTTTTTTTGTATATATTTTATTTATACTAGAAGGATCTGGGTTGCTCGTCAACTCCCCTTATATTCAAACTTACTCTTTTATATTAAACAATATGTTTGTGCTTTCTCTAGAATAGATATTGAATTCTGTTCTAGTTTTGGAGCTCTTAAAAAATTTTATGTCTCCTATAGAGAATGATAAAGAGCACATATGTACATACATATTGTTTTATATGAAAAAGTAAGTATGAATATAAGGCATGTCCTTCTTCATGCATTTCCAATATTAAACAAAGCAAATCGCTTAGATGTTTTTAATAATTAGGAATTCTTCTGATGAAGGCAAAATCGAATGTGCCGAAATACGTGTAGAAATATACAAAAAATTAACGCTCGAAATAAAACTTAATATTCCTAAAAAAATAAAAAAAAAAACAAAACCGAAATAACAACTCAAAAATGAAAAACAAAATTATATTAAACAAGGCGTTTTTAAAAATAAAAAGCAAAATGTTTGAGTTATTGGTGTTTATAAAAGTAAAAGACAATTAATAATAATAATTATTTTTGAAAGATATTAATTACTATAAAGCACGCATAATATAAAGGATAAAAGTTGTTAGAAGAAAAATGTATACTTAAATAAGAATTTAAGATATAACTTTTTGTTGCTCCTTTTTCTAAAAAAATTTTTAAAATATTATTTTCAGTCCCTGGTTTTAAAAACGCTCGTGTTTTTTATGATATCGCTATTATGTATTTTTATGTAAAGTTGTGGTAGCTTTGTAGTCGGTAAAGCAATATAACGACAAGGTTCATTTATCACGCTTCTTCTTCTTTCGCAGAAAAGCCACATTTTTGTACGAAAAGTGGACATAAAATCCCGCATAAAAAATTTTTCTATAATGTTCAAATATTTTGGAACATGTTTTTATATGAAGTTTTAAAAGAGCTTTTTTGTTAAATTGGATGTTAATACTAGGCTTAAATTTGTAAAATAGAACTACTAAGACAGCTGTTTGTGTTTTTACTTGTATTGTTTTTCATAAGAGCAATAAGATCACTATTTATTTATTTATTATCTTTCAAATACCTTAAATTTCAAAATCAATATAAATTTTATGCTTGACTTTTCAATTATAAAAATCATCTGATTCTTAGAATTTCCGAATTCCGAAAAAATTATCAAACCTGATGCCCCTCAGCAACGTTAAAATTTCATAAAACCAAATATACTTTAAATTTTATCACTTTACCGAATTAACGAGCATGTCTGGATACCCTTATGATTTTGTTTTGTGTGTTTTTGATTATTGTGTATAATTCTATCCTTGATTATTGTGTATAACGAATCGTCATTAACTTTAACGAAAAAAACAGAAAAAATATTACATATGAGCTATCTTTCAATACTTTGTTTTTTGATCGTCTCAACATTGCCTGTTTTTGATACTATCATTGACTCTTATGCACCAAAGTTAATATGCGTCACATATGTTAACTAAATTGGTAATTTGATCATACTGATGATCAATGAATGATACGAATGTTTTATTCAGGTAAATTTTACTCATAATGTTAAGAAATGGATTAACGAAGAGTCTACTATTGACGTGGATTATACAAGCGATGACAAAAATTTAGGCAAGTAGCATGTCTTGCTGAAGTTAGACTTAAAAAGTTTCAAAAAGCTAAGGTAAAGAAGGCAAGCATATATAAAAACCATGTCCATACATGTACATGTCCATAAACGACTACGAAATAACAAATACAAGCTTTAATCAAATTTATATCATAGCAAGAAATTTTTGTTAACAGAGCTGATATCTAATCAATGCTGTTGTTTGTCTTGTTTTAAATAATAAAGAAGAACTATGGTTTACTAAACTAAAATATATTTTAATGTTAATTTTATTTTTTTGCTGACAGTGACGCGTCTTTATAACGAAAAGAGACTATTTAAAAGTAAGAAAGATCGAATAGCAAATAAAAGACAAAGACAAAAATTTTAGTTAATTTATTGAAAAATGACTGACCATACAACGTTGTTTCGAGTATTGTCAGGTACCCATCATCAGTGGTCTTAGGAAATAGTCGAATTTTAATTAGTTTATAGTCCGTATATAATTTATTTAGACTGCAAGTGCCAGACTTAGAACTCGTGCCTGTCAAATTAGAAGCAATGACTAATCGTTTTTTTTTTCCACGACAGGCCAAGGCTGCAAAATATATTTTATTATGTAATTAAGCTGATTTTACTTTCAGACAATAATTCTAAAAATGTTTTCTGGGGCTTATACTTAATTTAATAGTGGTCGAGTGCTTTACTTAGAAATTGTCATAATTTTCTTATCTGTATTAGTTTTTTTTCTCTTTAGGAATGCTCAGGTTATAATAGGATAGGTTAAATAGGAAACCTAACATAGGTTTTTAGGGAAGTACTTATTTTGACTGTTTATTGGTAAGATTGAAAGATTTATTAAATTATCTATATTCGAAGCGATAGAGTTTGGGTTATCGTTTTCTATTTTATCTAGTAGGAAGTCAGCGAAAAATCACTAATTGAGATCAGCGAAAAGTTATCTGCTAACCTGCCACTGCAACTAACTAACCAACCACATATTAGTTTTGCAGAAGAAGTGGACACGACTGTATTATATTCTTTGAGTTCTACAATGTTTTTAGATTATTCATTCGATTATATTTCAATGATATTTCAGAAATATTTTATATCATTCAATAGTGCTTCAATCTCATTGATACGTTTACACTTCGTATAAATTTGTAATTTCATTTGACATTTCCTGAAAGAAAGAATTTAATATAATTAATAACTATTAACGCGATATAATAGTAATTAATAAATACAGTAAGGTATTTGACGATAATAGTTTGTTTTCTGTTCTAAAGCAAACTAAGCTTCAGTGCAAAAAAGGTTCCAAGAACGGTCGGGTCTACGTCCCGGAGCCACTCGACGACCAAGCACCGTTCAACACCCACCGAAGGGACTACGCAAAAAGGTCTCAACGGATTACTACAACAACAACAGTAAAAAATCACTTGAGCGGAGCTCTAAGGTCTCAACTTTTATTTGTTTAAGAAGAGTTTTTTGGTTCAATAAAAAAGTTAGTTATTGAAAAAGGGGTGCCCCTTAAGAATGTTTTCAAAGTGTTTAATTTGCCGAATAAACCTTAGAAACGAATTTAGAATTAAAATCATATGTATTATTTTACCATTTTCAGTTTTAATTTTTTTTATTGTTATAAATCGAATGATTTATTAAAATTAGAATTTGATTTTTAGAGCGTGAGGCACGTACGAGAATGGGATGTTGGAAAACAGGACAATATCGATACTGATCCTATAAGTCATGACTTGGTTAAGCGTCGTAGCAGAGAACGAGAACGTTCAGTAAGTCGTGAAAATAGCAAAACTGATAGAACTCGTTCACAACGTTCTAGAGATCGCAGAACAAGTAGTTTATCGCCAGGTAATTATTGATTATACATTGTGTGAGCAATATTAATTTAATATTTCAGCACGGAAAATACGGAAAAAGGAAAATGAACCACCATTGCGATTGCTTGACGATCTATTCCGTAAAACGAAATCAACTCCAAGTGTGTATTGGTTACCACTTACAACCGAAGAGGTAGGTTCTGTAATAAAACCCTTTTCCATCATTTATTTTGTAATATTTTTTTGTTAAACTTAAGGTTTAGTTAATTGTTCTTTTTTCATAGTATAGTATATGGTTGGCATAATTTGATCGAGGCCTGATCAACCAAGAGTAAATATAATAACTAAATAAGTTAACATATAAAAATACAAAATACCTCTAAATTAAACAACATACATAAATACATATAATTAATAAGATTGATATAATTAAAAGCTAAATTTGTCTATTTATTCGTGGTAAAATATTATATTCAATTACATTCAGAGTATAAGTATGAGCACTGTATTAAGTTAAATATTTCATTTTTTAGATAAGTATTGTTTATTAAATGTGAGCAATTTTACCATAATTTTATATGAATAATGTTAGTTGTATACATTTATATTGTACTTATTTAAATAGATATTACATACAAAGTATATATTATATTTTATACTGAATAACTTTATTAACTCATATATAGTTCTTAAAGTATATACTGATTGATATAGTGATTGCTTTAAAATCTAAGTCAACAACAAGATAGATTTTTTTGTCATACATACAATAGTATAATGGTTTGTTATTTATTCTTTATGTTGTTGTTGTGGTCGCCAAATAAATCTACGACTATAGTCCCTGTTTAAAAAGGAGTAAGCGGCAGTTGATTGTTTGTATAGACGAGTGGCCCCGGATCGTGCCTCAGCTATCATAGCTGTAGAGTACAGTTTTTATAGAAAATATTATATATTATATATATATAAAAAAGATTTTTAAATTATATAAATATAAAATATTATAAATTATATATATATAAAATATTATATATTATATATATGTAAAATATTATATATTATATATAAAATATTATATATTATATATAAAATATTATATATTATATATAAAATATTATATATTATATATATATAAAATAGTATATATATATATAATATTAAAATATTATATATTATATATATATAAAGTATTATACATATACCATATAGTGAAAAATTTAATTAGCATTTGGTTTGAATTTTATATAAAGTGTATAATTCAGGCTTCTCCCTTCGTTATATCTGACAGATTGTTGAGTGATGTTCAATAGTCGGTATATAGCAATCGTTTTGAGACGTAGACATGATACGGTAAGAATGTGATTTTAATTATCGTATATTCACACTCTCATTTTAAACAATCTGTCTCGCCACTCAACTTCATTTACACCCATCCTAATCCATGAATTCGTCTTGCAAGTCTATACATATTGCTTCCTATATAGATCTTTACATGCAAGCAAGCACTAAAAAATTATACAAACAATGTAAAATTTAATTATATTTTATATTATGTAGAGTTTTAGTATAAGGATATAACTATTGTGTTTATTGTGGATGTTGTTTTTTTTGCTCTTTTGTTAGATTTCCATATCCACCACAGATATAGATTTTAATATGTGTCGCAATATATAATTAATGCACAAACCCTAGCGTAAACGAAAAGATGGTTCTTGTTATGTTGTAAAATAAGTGTAATAAATTTTTTGAAGCAAAATGCCAATCTATAGACAAATTTCAGCTTTGAGAATATCATTTTTATAATTTATAAAGTAAAACAAATAGATTTTAAATCAATTATTTATATTTATTTTTATTATTATTTTTTTTTTTTTTGAAGATTGCTAAAAAGGAAGCATTCCGTCTCCAGCGAATTGAAGAACATAAGGAGCGTGTTAAGCAAAGGGAATTAGAGCGTGAGCAAGAAAAGAGCCGCCTACAACGTGATAACCGTGAGAAAGGGCGCGATAAAGAAAAGGAGCGTGAACGTGATCGTGAAAAAGAGAAAGAACGTGAAAAAGAAAAGGAACGAGAACGTGAAAAAGAGAAAGAGAAAGAGCGTGAAAGGGAAAAGGAGCGCGACCGAGAAAAGGAGCGCGAAAAAGAGCGTGAACGAGAGAAAGAAAAAGAACGTGAACGCGAAAAGGAGAAAGAACGTGAACGTGAGCGCGATCGCGAAAGGGAACGTGATAGGGATCGTGAACGTGAGAGGGATCGAGAACGTGAACGCGATCGTGAGAGGGATAGGGAACGTGATCGTGAACGCGACAGAGATCGTGATCGTGAAAGAGATCAACGTCGAAATCGCTCACGTAGCCGCGATAGACGCCGTTATTAAGCATAAAACGCACTACAAAACTAGAAACTATATTTAAACAAAAGACCATACCTACGGACACAACTGTCCGGTGAGCATTTCTTTATTTGAGAAATCTCGTTTCAAAAACTTCGAACTATATTCATTTTAAGTCTCGTATTTAAATTTCAACATATATTTTATATTTGTTGTTATTTTGAAGCTTACTTTATTCAAAACATTATATTTTCAATATTTTCTCTTCAGAATATTTGTAAGAAGTACAAGTTTTTTATTCACGCATATATGATTTTTCTGTGTGTATGTTTAGTATATTTAATTACTAATGTAATAAACGTTAATATATTTGAGAACAAAATATACAATATACACTTATTTAAATAAAAAAGTAATGAAGTTTAAATTTTGAAAATTATTTTAAAAAACAATTTTGTAATGGTACCAAATATAAAAACCAACATGTTTAGAAAACTCGGATCACCGGAATTTATTAGATCTAATAATTCTTGCTTGGTATTTATATGATTGGAAAGGCTTCGACGTTTAGCTGCTGCATTAATTAAGTAAAAAACGTTACGAAGTAATTCCGTGCTAAAACTCAAATCGTATAAACATTAAAAATACTCTAATATATGGAATAATAATAACTATATTTTTAACAATTCACAATTAAAAATTTTATATTTTTAATGTACAAAAATATCCAAAAAATCCTAATTCGTTAGTTCTCAATTTTCATTTAAAATATATACGCTGTATATGAAAATTTTAAGAATGCTTTAGGCATTTTTTAATGTAAATTTAAGAATACAAAACGTAAATTTGTTTGGTTGATAGTTTTAATTACGATATATTGTTAAAAATTGTCAACAGTATTGAATAAGTTAAATAAATTATAAAAAACAGTTCAATTTTGTTTACATATTATTAATGGATCACCATCACATCCCTTGCGAAGGAGTAACATACTCCTGAATGAGTAACAGATATCCTCAATGAATAGCTCACACCAAGAAGCGCTGCTTTTTGTTTGAGTCTTCGCTTGCTGTGACGTAGGAACTTTAGTGTAGTAAACAGACCGCATACTTTTTTTTTTGATTTTGTAATAGTTTCGTTATATAAATCCTGAAATGATCTCTTTTAAAATTGGTTATGCAAATGATCTGGGCAGTAAATATCATATCTGTATCAATTATATTGTAATAGTTAGCTTCTTGATTACGCCGACGACATCGACATCAACATAATTGGATACGCCAAGTGTGATGTTACAGCTGCTTTCGTTGCTATCGAAAAGGAATCTTCGAAAATGGGATTAGCGATGAATGAAAGCAAAACGAAGTTTATGTCAACTACGGGTAGAAATATATGTCACTCGTACGTTGAGCTAGTAGCTGGCGCCGCCATAGTAAAGAAGAACGATCTCAGTCTGGAGGTGAGATGAAGAACCACCATTACCAATTAGCGCTAGTATGGGCTCAGTAGGCAATACAAATGTAGAGTTTTTCTCGATAGCGAAAAACTTACGCTCCATAAGTCGCTCATCTATCCTACCTGTATTTCTGTATGATGCAGAAGCATGGATGCTTCATCATGGAATGAGGAAGCAGTACTTGAATTGTTCGATAGATAAGTTCTTCGTAAGATCTTTGATTCTCGAAATTTGACTTAAACACAAATAATGCTCCAGCGCGTATACCGCCAGGACAACAAATTCAAACGACAAATCCTGAGGATTGAAGCGCGAACCAGATATCTCACAAACAGCGTTCCTTTGAAAAGTTGAGTTGAGTCATAAAGTAAAGGCATTTTATGAAGATAGTTATATTTCAATTATCAATTCTATTTTACTTATATAACAATTATTTTAATGCATTTAAAACCATATTAAAACCTTATATAGTTTGAATGGATATGCTTTTACATCTATTCTAATTTGTTTCAAAAAGGTTCAATTTTTGATTTATATATTAGTGAGCAAAATTATTTGAACTAACTTGACGAGGTGCAGAAAACTTTTTCACCACAGTTGAGCGAAGTAGTGAACATCTATCTGACAACTTTTTCTTAGAAAATAACTGTTATTTTTAAATTACAAAATATATGGTTGCTCAATTTCTAGCTTGCAATGACATAATCCCTTAAATATTAACAAACTTGATCCATTTTGAACAAAATAAGCAGAAAACATAAAGAAACTACCGAATCTCAACGGAAAATAATACTATATTTGCACAATCAAGGTAGTTCTTATGCCGATATTGGGGTAATGGTAAACAGAAACCACTACATCATTCGAAGCATTGTGAGGTATTCCATGGGAGCGACATCATTGCAAAATGCAAAGTACATAGGCCGACCTAAAGCTTTAAGCGACCGTGAGCGTAGCAAAATAATAAGAAAGGTTAAGGTCAGCCCAAAAATATCTTCAACTTAGATCGTAACTGAGGCTAAGCGAGGGTTTGGCAAGAATGTTCATCGCATAACAGTCCAGAAGATACTGCATGCAACCAATTATAGTTTGCGTGTTGCTAAGCAAAAACCGTTTATTTTGAAGGTCTACCAACAGAAGCGTTTAGCCTATGCAAAGAAGTACTTAAACAAGTTATTAGACTTTTGGAATATATTACTCTTCTCGGATCAGAAAAAATTTAATATCTTTCGACCTAATGGTCGTCAAACGAGTTGAAGAAAACCAAACACCAAACTGCAAAAAAAATAATCCTACCATGTCTATGAAACATGGTGCTTGTATGGAGGTACATGTCCGCTGCAGGTGTGGGCGAATTGAAGTTCATTGACAGTATTATGGACAAAAATGTTATATAAATATGCTCAAGAGAAACGTTAACAACCATATTCAGCTTTCACGATGACAATGATCCAAAACATACGCCTTATGATGTGCATATGTGAATCACATATCATGAAATATACACATTACCCCACCCGCCAGATCTTAATCATATTGAACATTTGTGGGAAGAATGGGATAAATGTCTAACGAAGCACCCTATAACAACAAAGGCATAACTGAAGGTGGCACTGCAACACAAAAATTGGTTTCTTCGATGCCAAGGTGACTAGAAGCTGTGATTAAACAAAATGGTTTGGCTTCTAAATAGTAATTGTTACCTTAAATAATTTTTTTAAGTTGTTTGTTTAATTTTTGAATAAAGTGTATTTAATAAATTATTAAAGTTTCTCTGATTTATAAATTTTACAAAAAATTCAGTCATTTATATGGAACACACAATTAGACAAGTTGAAATAATGCGATAATAAGTTATCGTTAGTTCTTAAGATAAATTTAAAACCCTATGAAATAGGAGCAAAAATATGCGATGAATTTGCAGATGAGTCTAAAAAAGGAAACATTGACTATTCATTTAGCATTGAGAATTAAATAAAATTTTGTTATCTTTAACGAAAAGATACACAGTTTAATTTTTTAATGATCTATTTACTAATAATACGGTTTTAAAGGGTTTAGGTTTCAGACAATGGCGTTCGATGATTTTAACCTTTTAAATAAAAATAATAAAATTTGTGTGTAGCTCGCACTCAAAACCAACATTCACGAGCGTTCTGTAATACCTGCTTAAAAGATTTATCAGAGTCGTACGAAGATATGAATCTTGAAAATGTTATACACCAACGCAGTGAAATTTCGATATGCTCATTATCAGGCTCCACAGATGAAGATAGGTTTGAACCGATTTTAAAGTTACAACGCAATTTAAAACTGCAATGTGTTTATATTATTCGTAATAAATTTATTCATGAATTATTAATTTAACAATATTAATTAGTTCTTATCTCCAAATTTGTATCCCTTATAAAATTTACATAAATAAAATTTACAAGAATTAAGAATTTTTTTATATAAGATGATAAATGGTATTTAAAGCCATAATAAATAATACGATATAATATAAAATATAATATGATATAATATAAAATATAATATGATATAATATAAAATATAATATGATATAATATAAAATATAATATGATATAATATAAAATATAATATAATATAATATAAAATATAATATGATATAATATAAAATATAATATGATATAATATAAAATATAATATAATATAATATAATATAATATAATATAATATAATATAATAATAATATAATATATAATATTATAATAATATATAATATAATATATAATATTATAATAATATATAATATAATATATAATATTATAATAATATATAATATAATATATAATATTATAATAATATATAATATAATATATAATATTATAATAATATATAATATAATATATAATATTATAATAATATATAATATAATATATAATATTATAATAATATATAATATAATATATAATATTATAATAATATATAATATAATATATAATATTATAATAATATATAATATAATATATAATATTATAATAATAAATTATATTATAATATAATATTATAACATATATATATAATATAATTAATATAATATAATATAATATAATATAATATAATATAATATAATATAATATAATATAATATAATATAATATAGTATATATTATAATATATATGGTATATATAATATATCATTAATCCGATTATTCGCAAGAATTAATAATCAAAGGCTTTCTAATATGGTGACAGACCGGAAACGAAAAAAAACAGGAGTTAAACGATGCAACGCAAATACGTTATACCAGAGCGGAAATCTTACTCAACTAATATCACAGTGCGAGCGGCTGAATATAGATCTAATTGGTCTGAGCGAAGTGCGCTGGATTGGAAGTGCTGAGTTTAATAACAATAAAGGAGGACTGTTGCTGTATTTCGAATATATTAGAGGTTTTGGAATATACATGAACCACAGTACTGGAAAGAATAATTACTACTCGCTTCAGTAATAAGTGCAGAAATATCTCGGTTGTTCAGTGGTACGCACCTACAGAGAACAGTCAGCTTATTAGCAAAAAAATCTTCTATGAACAACTCGGCAAAGCGCTAAATGAACTTCCGAGCAACGACATTAAAATGTTCATCGGTGACTTTCAAATCAACACCGACAATGAGTGTATTATGTGTAAAAAAGCGTTAGGATCATGTAATGAGAATGGCAAGCTCTTTAGCTATGCAGTAAGCATGATTTAAAAATTGGTGTTTCTGTTTTTATCCACAAGAAAGCGCATAAAATCACATGGCAGTCTCCAAGCGGCACTTTTGAGTCGTAAATATAATAGACTACATCTGTATATCTCGTCAGTTGCTTAATATATGTCGCAGTGTCCGTAACAAGAGGAACGCTGACATTGGTACAGATCACTTTTTTTTGTGGTCGAAATGCAACGGCATATACAGAAAAAGTTTGATATCAGCAAACTTAAGAACGAGCAAAGCAGAGCTGATCTATCCAACGCAATTCGCACCACCACGGCTCTTATAATAAATAATGAGGATTAAGTTAATGAATTATGGGAAAAAATACATCGTAAGTTAAGAGACGAGTACACTCCAAGTGCTTGGTTTTAGCCAAAAGCGTAGCTTTGAGTGGGTAACACTGGCGAGTTGGACATTGATTGAAAGCAGACGCAAAATTAAAGAAAGGATTATGTAGACCCAAGCCGTCGTCGAAAGGTTAAACTAAAATTGTAATATAAGAGACATATAATTTTAATAAAGCGCCAAGTAAGAAAAGATAATGAGTTTGTTAAAAATTTAGGGTTAATAGCCCGAAATGCCACTGACTTCAGGAATATAACAAGAATATAACTTTTCAAAATACCAAAAACAATGCGGTGGAATAAAATGACAAGCAGGAAACCAATATGCGTTGATAATGGAACACTTATTACGAACAAAGATCAGCAAACTGCTCCAATCATAGATAACATCAAAGCAGCGATCATTACACTTAAAAACGGGAAAGCCAGTAGATCTCATGGACTTACTGCAGACTATTTTAAAACAGATAGAGACGCGACAGCTAGACTATTGCATCTTTTATTTTTATAAATTTGGAACACAGAAGAATTTTTGACTTAATGAAAAGTATTGATCATATGCAAACTTCTAAAAAAGTGGAACTTGCCCAGATGCATCAACTGGCATGGCATTTGTATTACGTAATCCGTTACCAAATTTTCAATCAAATTCTGCTTGATAGAATTTCTGACTTTCTGCACAAGCTCGTGCAGGCTTCGTATAATCATTAAGCAGTCTGTCGAGTTAAATTCCGTCTTGTATGTCGTATTTGGTGATTTTGAAAATTCTTTCGACTCAGTTATTCGCGATTTTCTATGAGAAGCGCTAGAAGCACAATGTATACCACGAGGTTAAGAGGTTAACTTGATAAAAAGCAGCCATCGTCAAGGCATAAACAGAATATAGGCATAAAGCCATAAAGGAATGTTGTGAGCCTTTCTGCCCTACAAGCGGAGTGACAGAAGGTTGCGCAACTGTGTCTCCTTTATTGTTCATAACAGAATTGGATGTGGTGTTGGAAAGAATTAACGAGTGACCAATTTACGACTCAACAGTAAATTAAGTGAACTCTCTTACGCGAATAACGTTGCACTTTTTGCCAACTACTGCGAGGATATTCAAAGTGAACTAAATGCATTGTCAAATGCGGCGCAGTGTAAAGGACTTAATATCAACACCAATAAGAAGAAATGTATGCATATTAAGAGAGCAAGTGCAACACCATTTCATATTAATGATGCAGCGTTAAAGCGCATTTTCGAATTAAATATCTAAGCAGTAGAGTAATATCGTGTGGTGGAGAGTAACCAACGAGATAGACAGCCGTATTTGTAAAGCTAATGCCACTTTCAACAGTCTTACACGAAACTGGAGATGTAGAACTTTAACGTAAAACACAAGTTTTTATTTTGAATTCCTGCGTCAAATCTGTACTACTCTATGGAATGAAACATGACCCTTAACAAGGGATTCAACTCAAAAACTGTAATATTTTGTCAATAACAAAACATCTATCCGGTCTATCTTGCGGATATGGCTAAGAATAATCACGGACGAAAGGCTGTGACGTGGTACTACACAGAAACCAATAGAACAGGAAATACGGTTGGAAAATATAGATGATTGGAGCACACACTATGTAAAGACATAAACAATGTAGCACATGCCGTATTCTGCTGCAATAGAAAGAACAATAGATAGAACAATAGAAAGAAAAACGAAGTAATCAGTAAGCAAATTGAGATACATAGCGAGAAATCGACAAAATTGGGAATCCTTTATAAAGAATTTATTTGAATAGGGTGAGTTTATACTATCTGATATTATAACATAAACATGCTAAGCTATAATACATACATACCATGTAAAAATACATAACTATTTAACTGATCCATAATAAATTTTATTATTTAAATAAATTTGTAAAAAAAAAACAATTTCGATTAATTTTTTGTCAAAAAATACAAAATATCGAAACATGTACAGTAATATCCATTATTGTCTGTGACATGTCATGTCTATGAGTAGGCCTGTGTGTTGTACAGCGAAAGTCTACAACAATATATTCGACAAAGTCTAACCGCCTGTAGCACACTTTAGCAGGTTTTTTTTTTTGTCGAAATTAACAAATAAACCAAATTTAATACATATAAATAATATTTCTAAATTTTTTGGAATTAAATTCAATTGACATAAAAGCAATATTTTACAGTTAGAATTTTTCAAGTAACAAAATAACGTTTCACACGGAAACGAGTGATATAAAAGAAATTGCATTTTGTGCAGATCGAAATAAGTTACCGGCTCAAGTAACGAGTATTCACATAATTATTTGTCATTTCGACAGTATTTAGATTGTGTTGAAAGATGTGGTCCGACACGATACTTATAGTGTTTATATCTATTTGCACAGCGTTTTTAGGCGAAGGTTTTGTTTCAATCATTATAAAAATGTAAATCATTCTATAAATTAAATTAAATTTAATTGCAGGTCTTACGTGGCTTTTAGTGTATAGAACAGATAAGTACCAAAAACTGAAGGGAGAAGTTGAGAAGCAAAGCAAAAAATGTAAGTTCTCGCTTACATCCAACTCAGCCCTACAAAGGTCACGTTGTGATTGACCTACATTTTCAATAAATACATTATTATACAGTAGAGGTTCATTTACATCGTGTACTGTCCAAATCTATATTTCCGAGAAATTAGTAAAAATAAGTAATTGCAACCAAATTTTCTATTTACAGTAGAAAGAAGGAAGGAAATACATGGAGACTCGTTGGATAAATCGCAAAAAAAGAAAATCGAACGCGATGAAGAAAAACTCAAGAACAATAATAGAGATCTATCGTTAGTTAAGATGAAATCAATGATTGCTACTGGTTTTGCTTTTACGGCTTTACTAAGCATGTTTAATAGCATGTATGTATCTTAAAAGTGTGGTCCTATTCCAAATTTTATTACTTTTAATCAAAATTACAGCTTTGATGGACGTGTCGTGGCGCAGTTGCCTTTTACACCCATTTCATGGATTCAAGGTCTTAGTCATAGGAATTTAACAGGCGATGACTATACGGATTGTTCATTTATTTTTCTATATATACTTTGCACAATGTCTATTAGGCAAAATATACAGAAATTGCTGGGATTTGCACCCTCCCGGGCGGCTAATAAACAAGGTGGTGGATTTTTTGGCCAAACTCCAGCACAATTTAAGTAGAATTCGATTAGATTCAGCTAATGATAATTTTATATTACAAAACTGCCGAAATGTACATAGTGCTCTAAGTTACTTTATTTGGATTTTATTTGCTCATACATTGGACATATGTATAATCACGAAAAATTCTTGGATGCCGTGTCTTTCAAATCACAAATTGTTCTAAGCGTGGGTGTGAATGGAATAGATAAATATAAAAAATTAAATAAATTACAATAAACCGAATTTTTATTTAAAAAAATATAAATTTATAAATTAAATATTGTAAAGCGGATATGTGCAGGAGTTAGAATTTGAAAACTTAATTGCTTAGTTGCAACATCACATTATCTCTTTTCTTATCAGACACGAATATATAAAAAAAGACATTTTCTCAATGAAGACCGTACCGATAGATAAACCCCAATGTTAAATTTTACGTTTAACGTTGTTGTAAACTGCAGAAATAAAATAAAACTATAGTTGTCACATATATGTCTGGTGTGAAACTACCAGTAGTCTGTACTGGATTAACTATGTAAACAATGCTTATCCATGGTATCACACGGTGCATTTCAGCTCGAGTGGAAATGCCAACTTAGTCTAACCTATTTAGGTTTGTTCTTATGATGCTAAAACTATTCATCGCTCATAAAATGCTGCTTTATTATAAAAATAATAAAAAAATATTATTTTTCTTTTACTTTTTCATGCGTATATAACGGTACGGTACGCAGATTAGTCAGTGAGATGGGTGGGACTCTAGAGAAACCCCCCATTTATCAAAGAGTAAAAGTGCCCACATGCAGTAACTCGGAAAAGGCTCAACATAATAATAATAATAACTTGTACATTCTGTCTCTTATTTTAAAAAGCAAAAATAATTATTAATCATGCCTTAAAAGGAAAAAAGTATACATATTACAGCAAATATAAGCGGTAACGCCTGCGGTAAATTAAAGTCTCTTCGTGTGCTTAGTTGTTGTTTTTTGAATTGGTGGAGGTATCAGTTAAAATTTTTTATTTAATAACTATTATAATCACAAATTCATTCAGCGAAATCGGTTAACAACATGTGAAGCAAATGAAGTGACAGAAAAACGTAATGCGCGGACTGAGACAATTCTGTTTTACATTGAATTTTTTGGAGTTGCAATCTGCGATTAGTATAAGTGAAACGTTGACTAATGGTAGATATGTTTATTCGAATATTGGTCATAAATATTATTCTTTAAAAATGTTGTATTCATAATTTAAATTTTAATGCCTTGATTATTCCGATAAGATGAATTAATTAATTATAGATATATATTCAATTTACATTTTATTAGACATGAAACATTTAAAATCATCAGATCAGAAATAAGAAGGATTTTATTAGATCATAACAATATTATTATCGCGTTCAAATGCCAAATCAACTTCACGTTTGTCGTCCTCATCTGTCCACTCACCGCATTTTGCGAGAACGTCTGGTTCAGCAATTGGTGAAGTCTGAATATGAAAAATTAAAAAAATAATGATTCACTATCATATTTATTTAAAAAAAAAAAATTACTTCTTTACAAACCTTATCAACAGCAGCGAATTTGGCAAACATGCCACTATATATTTTCTTTTCTCGTTCATTGGCTTCCTTAATGCGCTGGTTACAAATAATTATCTGATTATGCGCAGCTTTGTTATTTGGTTCCAGTTCAATAACCTATTTTGCAAAAAAAAAAAAAATAGAAATTACTTACAAATTATATTTAAAAAAAAACGTTGCTGCACACACTTACCTTTTTAAAATCAGTTATTGCTTCAAGAAACTCGTTGACAGCCAAATTACACTGGCCACGTCGGTAAAGAGCTTTTATATTGTTCGGATCCAAAGTCAGAGCATCCGTACACTTTATATTGGAGTGGTGTTTCAGTTAAAGAATGTTTTAAAATTATTTATATAAGACTTAATTAGCCAGACTTTATTCCACATTATTCTTTAAATTCATAAACTGTATTTAGTAGCATTCAATGTTATTGTATATACATGCATATACAGATCTAACATTTTCAAATGCTATTTAAATTGTTACAAAAATCGTGTCACACACTTTAGTGATAATATAGTTAAGTTTTGTATCATAGGTAGTTGTTTTTTGATCCGAACAGATTTGATATTAAAATAAGGAAAAAATTTTAGACTTAGACCCATGGTGTTGATGTACAAAACTAAACGAGTTTAAAACTACATGGAGGTTTTAATAAAGCTCAAAATACTCCTGAAGTAGAGATCTTGTAGCTAACTAAAATTCTTTAAAGTGTATTCATAGTATGAGAAACACTTTCATCGTCCTTCTCTTCTAGTATGACTTCCTTTCCTGACACCGACTCGTTAGCAATCCCACTATAAGACTATAATCTTTACAAGTCCTCTCAAAAGGATTGCTAGAGTTTATCTTATTTAACAGGGTTCAGAACTAGCGTCTGGATAAGGTTAAAACTATCTATCTTGAATTAAATCATTCAAAAGTGATGAAATAAATACGATTTTTGTTTATAATTTGTAAATTATAAATTAATAGATATTAGAACACTGGCTAAAAATGCATGTTTTTTGTTGGCAGGATGTTCTGGCCACATCTACTATTTTTACTATGTAGAAAGTTCTGGAACTTTGTAACAAATTGAAAAGTACTTACAGCTTGTTTTCCTTCAAATTCATTATGTAGCTTTTGGCAGCAAAGGGCAATATTATTATGAGCAGCTAACTTAATAGCATCCTTAATTTCATTTGGACCTGAATAAACAAAATAAAAAATTTTCAAACACACGTTTAACAATACACATATAAATTAATCCTGTTAGGTAATAGGTGAAATAATGCACAAATTTAAAACTTGATTAGCTTGATAACTAAAATTTAACCAAAGCTGATATCAGTCGTCTAAATAATATAAATGCAAACTTGTATTGTATATAAGACACAATATTGAAATCAGCAATACCCAGCAAGGACAAAATATGACAAAATCTGGTTTCGTTTAGATCTACGTCACTCTTCAATTTCGATGTCCAACTGCCACTTACCATTCTCAAAAGGTACTCTACCAACGACAGCAATAAAATCTTATTTATGATTACTAACAATACAAATACCTAAGACAGCATTATTCGATTTTGACTCTGTACAAAATGCATTCGTCGATTCCTTTCTTCTTATCATAGATATATGTTAACGACAACTTTTACACAGGAACTAACATCAGTGAGATAGAATATAAATGTGAACTTACAGCCCTCTATACAGATGCAGTATCCTCTTTGAAACTAAGATTGTCACACAACAAGATTCATTCACAGCAGATATTCGCCTAACATCTACGAGGAAGAACGACGTCTACTTCGTACAGCAAGAACTGTCTTGGCTCAATTGATATCAGGGTATGGTTGAGTGCTAAACAGTTATCTGTCACGCATAAACACGTTTTACTGCGCACTCAAATCACTGTTCAATTAAATTTTGAACACACCCCATTGAAGTGGTTAGGTTTCTTTGTCTAGACCCGGGTTAATCTTCCATTTAAATCCAACCTTTCTCCCTATTCCCCCTCTCCCATCTTCCACCACTACCCATCCATATCGTCTTGCAAATTCTTTCATGCTATATGCTTACAGGTCTCAGTAGGCTATAAGAACATTAACTTTAGATAGAAGTCTTGACGGAAAATGCTTTGCTCGCTGTATTGATACTGGTGTTTGTGCTCTATATATCATTAAATTACATAGCTTGAGCATAGAGCTCAATTAAATAAATCTCTTCTTGAAAGACAATGCACTAAGCACAAACAAAATCGATTTTTGAGAATTGACTAACTTCTACATTGAATGCTTAGGATAGTTTTTTCAAACATTTTGTATCAAGAAACAGCGTTAGTATCAATCTAGAAGCGGATATTACGTTGTTGTTGTTGTAGCCCGGAAGGATTTTTATATGTTTATATTTATACATTAATAAATTACAAAACGAATACATAGGTTAAAATGTGGATATGTATTGGTAATGCGAGAGGGCAGGGGAATATTTTGCGTGAGAATGAATGGGAATTCAAATTAAAGTCAATAAGGGTCAAGTCTAAAAAACGTAGATATGTAAATTAACAAAGCTAAAAGAATGAACATTTCCAGACACCTTTGTAGACACAGATAACGTTCTCTAAGATATACTTTATATTTAATTACATTACTTTTAATATCGAAAACCAAAATCAGAAATAAAGCCAAAAGATAAGTTTAATTATATAGAATGAAGTTTTTTAGAAAACTATTTGTATAAAGGGTTTTGAAGTACAGTCAAATTTTTTTCTTTTCTAATATTGAGTTTTAAGAACAAAAACGAATATATGGGTATTCTTTCAAAGATATATGGTTATTTGACGTCTACACTGACTTGGGCAAAATTTTTATGTTCAAATGCAAATACATATTATTTTCAAATTTAGTCTGCAAACAAAAATTTATATAGTGTTAAAGTTATAAATTTACGCAGAGTTTGAAGTTAACATTCACTTTCATATATATATATCCAATTTTAATAATATATAAAAATTGTTATACTTTTGTATAATACTTACTATCATCTTTAGCATACGAAAGGCATTTGCTATACATTTTAATAGCAAGTTTGTATTGGTTTTGTTTATAGTACATTGTACCTTTATCCTTCCATTTATTAGCTTGCTCAATCTTTTCTTCTGGCGTTAAGGTCCAATCAGCTACTGTTTGCTATCAAGGTAATATTTTGTATTATATATACTTCTATATTAAATACTGTTATACCTTTTCAATATTCAAAACTTTTACTATGTATTCCACTACAGAGTTTGGTGGAATATTGTATTCTTTATGTCCTTCCTCACCAAAAGCATGTTTCGGTTGTATGACTAATCTGTTTGATTTTTGTGTATTGAAAAAAAAACGTTTATAATTTTAATGGAATATATTTTTACCTAGAAGTTTCATTAAGTGTCATTTTTGAGATTCCATGCTCAATACCTTCAATTACCCCACAACCTGTGGCTTCACCGTAACAGAATTCAACTTCACGATCCTCGAACACATTCCCAGCGTATTTGCCAATCAAGTGAACTAAAAAATAAATATCACATATTAAATATATGTTGTCGAGATAAATTCTTTCAAAATTATATTATACTCTAGATCTTTCTGTTACCACAAATATAAAAATATACTTAAAACTATTGCTTAAGTAGTTTAAATCCGCCAACCACAGCAAATTTTAATTAGATAAAAAATGTGGTTTTAAAAATATTTCACAAATATGTGATATATCGCACATAGAAAGAAAGAAATGGAACTGAATTTTATAATAAAAATAATCACCTTTTACTAAGGCCCCTTCCTGCGGCGTTCCTCTTTTTTTGCCATTCTGAATTATAAAACGTTCAATTGAATGATCTTGTTCTGGACTTACATCTTCCCCTTCCCATTTCAATAATTCTAACTGAAAAATAGTTAGATTAAAGTCTTAATATTTTTAATATCGAAGGATTCACCTCAAAAATAAGAGTAGCATTCGGTGGAATACTTGGTGGACTACCTCCAGCTCCGTAAGCATAATCGGGATGGCATGTTAATTTACATTTTTCATTTAATTTCATACTGGAAACACCCATATCAAAGGCTTTAATTACATGACCTTGCGTAGAAATAAAAATTATGAATTAAAGATATATTCAATTACATATATAAAGCTTTAAACTCTAACCTTTCCCTAAGTCGAACTCAAATGGCCCTCTACCAACGCTTGAATCAAAGACTGTGCCATCAGTTAACGAACCGGTGTAGTGTAACTGAACTTTGCAACCTGCTGAGGGCTGCTCAGACCCAGTGCCAACTTCCAATATCACTTTTGTGACACCGCCATCTCCTGAAAGATCAATTACCTCCTCTTCACTCATTTTTCTCCGACTTTTTAGTAAAACAACCCGCAGAACAATAACAATATTCTGAATTCAAGAGAATCAAAGTGAAGGTAGAGTGACGATAAATAACTAGGAACTGATTGCTGAAGAGTTATCGATTGTTGGTGGTACGGTATGTTCAACTTAGTACAATTCTATTTTTTAAGAGAAATTATAGAGCGGTTAGTACTTTGATAGCCTGTTCGAATTAAACAATTGTTTTTGCAGATTTATTGTCAGTAAAACACAGGCTTACAGAAAAAAACATTGCATATATTTAGTGTTCAGTATTAAACGTATTAAACAGACTAAATAATATTAAAACTATTTTTAACATTTTTGTTGTTGTCATTTTCTTTAAACTTGTTTTAGGTTATAATAATCGATCATAATGTGTCTGTACAAAAAAAATTCACAATTCAATTGTAATTCTGGGTGTCGGATTTTCGTATAGAATCAGGTTATAATTTTAACTTGATTTTGAAACGAAGAGAGTCCAATAAGTCGAACGAACAAAATTACGATTATTCTGCTGACACAACGTTTAAATTAGTAAAGTAAAAAATTTCTTGAATTTCATTATTATTCTGGTATTATCCGCACGACACCTTACTGTGAAATTTTCTGGAACCAAACCTCTAAACCAAGTCTATAGATATTCAAATTGTGCTTTTCACTATAAGCTTTTTAAGTAGTAAGTGAGTTTTGTAATTCTACATATAATATATATAGAAACTAATAAAAAGGAATTTAAAAATTGTTACCCTTTTAAGAAGTGGTATCAAGAGGGTCAAGTATTTTCAATTTACTATATAATCAAATGGTCAGTATTAATAACATGATTTACTAGATTTTTAGTAGAAATTGTTCCCATACATTGTACGTTGTAAACTCCTTTATTAATCTCATTTTTAACTTAACTCATTCCCTACTTCTCATTTTACTTGAGAACTAAGGAACCATATCTAATTGTTCATTTAACATACAGTAATAATTTAATAAAATTATAGCAATAAAGTTGCGTATACAATGTGTATCATTCTGACTGAATAATCCTTTCAATTTTTTTCTAATTTTCGTGCTTGTATATTATTTTACAGATATAACAGATATTAAAGAAAATAATGTTAAATAATTACGATTTAAATAAATGACATACCAAAGCTTTTGTTTTGTTTAAATATTATTACCAGTTAATTTTCATATTCGCGCCTTAATTATCTTGATTGGTCCGTAAAACTAATATAATCACATAACACAAATCTCATCATTAGTCATGATATCATAATTGAAATCAAATCGTTTATTTCGAAAATTAACACTTTCTAAAATGATATTAGAAGCAATAAGTACTTTCTAGTTATCATCTCTATAGCCTTCAAAAGCACGAAAATGTGTCTTCTTATTGTGACCACTTCATTAGTAGCAGCATTGTCTATATTGAGTATAGTTATATATTATATTGAGTATATATTATATAAGTATATAACTGTTCTTCGATCTTACGATTATCTTTATCTAAACATATAAGTAAATACATTTCAATTTATACAATTCTTAATCCAATATATTCAAGAAGCGATTAGATCAACTATTATTACTTTGCATGGTATGATTTCAATTGCCTGTGGCACTAATATTACACCAATAACAAGATATGAACGTATCCACTCTGCGTGGTATGAGTTCGACTGCCTCTGAGGCTATAACATCACTTAGGTTCTTTAGATCTACAGATGCCAAACATTATACCAGTTTGAGTTCTAACATAACGATTGACAAAATAAACTCTAGAGTTTCTCTAGTATCCATAAAACCCAGAACACTTGAATTTATAAAGTAAAACTGGAAGTTTAATAACAAATTTCTAAAATATAAAAATTTCAGGCTGCATAAAATGAATCTTGTATGCACTTCATATACACAGCACTACGTACACTAAACAAAATTTAACGTTTTATTTATTATAATATTAGTAACCTTGAACATCTACTCCGATTAATTACAATATTTCAAATTATTACAATAAATCAATGCTAATTTGAACGGAGTGTAAAGCCATGTTTTTCCTGAGACGAAAACACGTATTTTTGTCTGAAGTGATCTGTTTTGAGGTTATGTACTTTTAAGAATAGTGTGTTAAAACATTCAGTAACAACTATTTAAATATTAGCAGTAATTTTTTCTTTCAGAGTTGTAAAAAAACAGCATTAAGTCTGATTGAAATTGGCGTTGTGTTGTATACAATGAAATATAAAAATTGTTAACACTATAAATTAATTAATTTAAATAACAGAAAACAAAATGAATATTAGAAGGAAGTGGTTAGCATTTTTATCTTAAATATTTAAATTAATTTATTTATTTATGTATTTGAATTTATTAGTAAATGAATTGCTCATATGTTTTTAAGGGAGGACTGAAATTTTGTAATATATTTTCAGTCAACATATATTGATTTAGACTGATTTTTGAATGTAGCTGCACTGATACTTAAGACGTACAATTTTTCGCTAGTAAAACCTAACTCTGAAGATTTTAAGAGCGTTGTTGTTGTTTCACATGTTTTCTTTTGTAAGTTGCGAATATTTTTATGCAGTTGGTAATTGTAGTTTATTTATAACACAATGTATAAAATGTCTTTATTTTATACATAAAACAGAGCTACAAAAAATTGTATTTAATACATACGCAAAACAATAATTTAATGAAATAGAACTACAATTGTGTTAGAGTTTCGAGACATACATATAGCAGTATTTGGACTAGGAAATTTTATCTTTATTGTTTTGAAACTAAATTATCAATCAATTTTGTTTTGCATTGTCAAAAAGTGGTACATAATACTTCTTCTAAGCGATACAAGACTCTTGTTCTTTGGTGATAATGGATGGTACAAGATCTCAATATAAATTTATAATAGGCATCATGTAGGACAGGGCTGTCCACATCAGATGTGATTGGAGGGCCGCAGCAACAAATACATTCGTTCATAGTTGTTATTATAAATACATTATAACATTATAAATACGGATATAATGTTACAATATTTTAGTTTTACCAGTACACCAAAAGAAAATTTACGTAGCTATAGATTAAAAACATGTCGCGGGCCGCACAAACATGAGCCGGCGGCCGTGCTTTGGACAGTCCTGATGTAGGATATCCACGCCTTTCCGAATCTAAGAAGAATTTGAAATTCTATTTCTGAAAAGTCCAAATTGAGATATTGCCAATTTATGAAACTCACAATCATTTTAAGCGTGTTCGTCACAATGCAGTAGAACATAAGAGCTGTTATGCAGTTTTCTTTGTTCTAAGCACTCTGTATATCCTGTATTCGCCAGTATTCTTATATTGTATGCAAATAGCGCAAATAGACTGTGGTCTCTGAACAAACCTATGATAGTTCTGCTTCTTTTCGTGAGAAATGGAATCTACTTTTCTTGCTTTTCTTAATACGCACATAACTTCAGCAATTTCAAATCGGAGTAAATTGTTTCACCTCACCACTGTCTGCTTTTTCTTATTTTCACCAATATTTTTGTTTAGATTTTTAAGAGGTTTCTATTTCTAGTTTTCTAGTTTCTAGTTTTCTTGTCCAAGTGTCAAACAGTAGTTTTGGTAATCGTATTTACAGCAAAATCTTTTCATTAAAAGACACTTTTGTGATCAGCCAACTTAATTGACTATATTATACATCAAATGAGTATAGTAATAATATCACTCTGATCAGTTCCTCCATGTGTGGTTCATTCAATATTTAAATTATATATAACAATAGTTTAAAGATATTAAAATTATACGAAGACATGTTAAACAAAACATGAGAAGCAAAATACAAAGCTTAATAAAATAACATTAATTAATAATATTGTCAAATTAGCATTAAATAAAATTTTTAAAACTAACGCTATATTACAATTTATACCAAATATATACGATCGCTATCGTGAAAATCATTGAGTAACGTTAGCATGACTTTCTCCGTATTACTTTCCTAGATTAGGTTCTATACATAAGAAAGAATAATATAAAAGTATATCACAAATAATATCTTTACAAACAGAATAATATTAAAATTTAACAATTAAAAATAAAATATAATTAATTAAATTGTAGAATAATGGTCTATGATTTTGATTTTATGATTTTTTTGGTCGTATAAACTTTTACAGAAAGTTAACAAAATTCCAGAAAAAAGTCTACACATGTAAATCAAGAACTGCTTTGGGTTAGTTGTCTCATGAACGTTAATTCTAAGGTTCAAATTTGGCACGGCACTAGTTTAATCCCTGGTACTTGCAGTCTTAAAAAATTATTTACGAATAATTAAATACAAGAAATAACGCTAAGACCATTGATGATGGATATTTAGCAATATTCGAAATAGCTGTATGGTCAGCTAAAAATTTAATTAATAAAAATAAAAAAAAAAAATATTTGAAAGTATGTATTAGTGTTACTGATAAAGCTAAACTTTCTATATAGTGACAAAGAAGTTATATATAAATATAGGGGCCTTCGAATAGCAAAGAAAGAAAGGACAAACACAAAAATTTATTTAGTCTTATTGAAATTTGGCTGATTATACAACGCAGTTTCGAGTATTGCCAAGTACTCATCATCAGTGGTCTTAGGAAATAATCGAATTTTTAATTAGTTTATAGTCCGTGCATCTGATTTAACAGGCACGAGTTCTAAGCCTGGCACTTGCAGTCCCAACAAATATAACAAATTATATATATGCGTTGTTCAATAAAATTAAATAAATTCTTGTTTGTCCTTCCTTTTTTTTCTATTCGAAATCCCTCTAAAAAGAATATTTGTTTTTGTAGTTCAACTTTCTACCAAATATGCTAGTTTCTATTAAAATATAATAACAGCTTATATTAAAAATTTTTAATAAAATATTAACAAATAAATTTGTATTTTATATTATGTATGTTCAATTGCTTGCACAGATTTAAGACAAAAAATTGTACTGGGTCTGGCTGTAGCGATAATGAAACGATGATGTCAAATAGATTTTAATTGGATTGACTTATAATACGAATATATCGTATTTTTATAAAACTTTTTTTTGATAATAAATTAGTAGAAATTCTACTATTTTTACTAAACATATATTAGTTTTTTGTATATTGACATATATATGATGTAACTAATATAGTTTAATTCTATATTAGTTATACGATCAGAGAGTTCTCTCTCACTTTTATTTTCCATAATCACTATTTTGATTTCTATTCTGATGTTTATATACACACATTTAACGATTACCTGAAAATTATAAATAAATATATCACTTTTTTTTATATTTTGAAAGTTGTTTTTAATATTTATTTACTAAATATATCGCTGATTTAATTTAGTTTAATAAAAAAGTGTGTTTATTTGATTTCTAAACAAAATTAAGAAACCTTATGCAAGGTTTGTTTGTTTCTGTAAAATGCATCACGTAGTAATTAATTTTTGCTCTCCTCCCCAGCTGGCTTCTTTAGTAATTTAGGAGCATAAAGAAGAACATAGGCACAATGCCAATCACCGCCACCTGAGAGACGTAAGATTTCATCATTTGTTACCGATGAAACAACGTCATCATCAAACTTAAACCACGTTTCATCGTTGTGACGGACCCATGCGACGTAGTGACCAGATGAACTTGAACGGCCTTTATGTGTAAGCACAGCTTGTAGGGTGTAAAAACCGGAATTATTGCTACCCAGATCGTCATCGAACGAAAATTCCTCATATTCCCCCTGCTTAGACTCCTCTTTGCCTACGTTACTTACAGTGTCAATCATTTGGTTTTCAACTTTTTTGTCTTCAGCTTCTTTAAACTTAGCACGCATTGGGCATAACTTGGCTTTCAATTCTTCAGTACATAAATCAAATGCATCAAAATCCATTGGGAATTTTATATCTTTTAAAACCTTGGCATTAATACCTTCTCGTCCCTTATATTGAAAACGAACAAATTGCACTGTAAGATAAGCGGGCAAACGACTTATTAAACACTAAAAATAAAACGCAAAAAGAGGGCATTCAGTTTATAGGCATATATATAACAGATTTAATGGGTGACATACTGAACGGGTATAAGTGGCATCACGACCAAGCGTTTCAGAGCGTTTCACCAATTGTTCCTTCAATCGCTGAAAATATTATTAAATTAGTTTTAAATCAATTTGAATTAAATATAGTTAATGTTCATTATAGCAAGCAATTTTTTTATATAGGATGCGTGTCTGTCCAATCAGTGGCTGGTTTCTACTTTGTAGAAAAAATTGTTCGATTTTATATCTATTATAATTCCGGTATCATTACATCATTTATCTATCGTCGGTATCGTTATCAGTGAAATGAGAAATGACAAACAATTGACAAAAAGACTGTTGCAACGAGTTTAGTATGTTTTATTATTGATTTGAAAAATTCATACAGCACTTACAAAAATGATAGAATTTTACTTAAATCTCAATTGACAATAACATATTTGTTGGGTACAGATTGGCATACAGAAAGTGGTGCATATTACAGGTAAATTTGTACAGGTTATAAGTATTGCTACCGTTTAATAAGGCTTTAATTTCTTCTTCGGACAAAAATGCTTCATAAAAAAAAATACGTCAACGTCCTCTGAAAATCGGGCATACCTTCTGCTCAAAAAGTATACGGATTTTATTGTTTGTTAACTACTCGTTTTTGTTATGTTGGTACACCCTTTCTTGACATATGGAACAAATTTGTGCGCCATCTGTCAATTAATTTGTTTACAGCAGCTATTAATGTGAGACTACCTCAAGTGTATTTAGCGATTTTTACTATGGAAAATTCTTGTTGTACGCGATCACCACTGACTCAGGTACCATATTCCCCAGATCTGGCGCCGTGCGACTTTTTCCTGTTCTCGAAACTCAAATTGTCCCTTCGTGGTAAGCATTTTAAGTCGATTGAATCGGTAAAAGAGAATTCGCTGAAGGTACTAAAAGTCATACCTTCACAGGCCTACGAAAAGTGTATGGAAGATTGGGTTAAGCGTTGGCATATGTGTATCGCTTCAGGAGTATATTTTGAAGGAGATAAAATAAATTTGGAATAAAATTTAAATTTGTGTGTTTTATTTACAAAATCCGGATACTTTTTGAGCTGGAGGTATACCAATAATATGACATATATTTTCTATTTCATGACGATATATTATATATCAGATATATAAAATTCTCCACCCTTCAATTTAAAAACACCGCCTCTACACTTAAAAACTACACTCGATATGTTGTTCTGAGTGTTTTCGTAATAAAAACTATGCATAACGTCATATTGCAGCTGTGGGTACATGTCATGAGATCCCGAACTAGCATTCGCGACAAACCAGCTCGTGTTCCCTCCGTTTGTATAAAGTTATAATTTTATTGTTTAATAATTTAAGATCCATACTCAGATTACTAGTTATTGAAAGATCCTGTTGTAATTATACATTATACATAATTTTTCAATCTTTGGCGCAATATATGCCTTTCTCAATTGTAAATTCAGCTGCTATTCGAAGAAGCCTTGTGGAGGGAACATTAAGAATTTTTCTTATATATGCAAAATATATTTGCACTATGTCCATAAACTGGACTCTAACCTAATGAATGTTTAGAGGTCAAATGTTTATTGTAGCAGAGGGTATACGTAATCAATTTCCAAAGGTATTTATATTCATTGACAGTTTCTAACTAATTTTCCCCGAACTTCTACGATAACAAATTAATTAGTCTAGGACCTTTTCTGAAAATCATAAGCTTACATTTGTCTGGTTTCGCGATAAAACCCTATTGTGAATAATACCTAAACAGATCATGCATCATAATTTGCAATATTTCAGGTAAGTCCGCAAGCAGAACCACATCATCAGCATAGAAAAGCACTTTTATATAAGTTGAGTTGATAGGTACTCCACCCGGTAAACAGTTATGGAGAACATTTAACTATAGGAAGAATAAATTTCGGTTGAGTAGGCATTCTTGTTTTACACCTTGAGTGACTTTAAACGAAAAAGATGTAAGATTACCGACTACTGGTGTTCGAGTATAATCCTATTAGTGTGGTCAAAAACTTGTGAGACAAATCTAAAGTAGCTAGTTTGAAAAGTATGGCATTCCTAGGTATAGTGTTAAATGCACTTGAGAAATCGACAAAAAAAAGGATATGTTTTCACAATAACAACAACATGATATAGCAAAATTTAAGACAAAATTTCTATATGAGACATTCTATACGATACCTTACAACTTTATTTTAAAACTGATGTTTTCACAGACGGGAGATAGATATTGACTATTTGCAGGCACCTATTAAAGACTTGATATCAATCAAGACTGGCTTGATTTGAATTCCATACGTTTGGGTTTCCCAATAAACAGTACACTTAAGAAAGTCAGTCTCGTTGTGTGTTGAGTAACAGATTGCTGTGCTATAATTGATCAAGCAACTGTTGGACTGATCTTGTAACAATCAATGTAATCAACTTTAGTAAGCACAAGTATCTTAGAGCTTTACTTAACTAGAATGGACTAATTAAGCTACCCCAAACAAATTTTAAGGTTCTAAATCAGTGATGGGTATACAGTGCAATCCAGCAACTACATAACTACAATTACAATTTTCTGTTACGCTTGATACAATATGATACAGCCATCTCAGTTGCATTCAAATAATGTAAAAGGAACTACTTCTCATTCTCTCTGTAGATGCGCTGTTCTTTAGAGCCAAAAAACAGCTACCATAAGTAAGCCGGGGAACTACTGATAACTAATATCAACAAGCGTTAAGAGTTTCTGAGTTGAACATCCCGGATCAAACAAAAGAACGGTAACGAGGATGTGGCAACAAAACAAAATAAAACTATGATCAACATACGTAGACAAGCAAAGCTATAATACGCAGCATGCAAACATCAAAATACACAAAAATCAATCTCTCTCTCTACACAATTTTCCTAAATTCATTAAGGAAACTAAGAAATTTAAGAAGAGTACCCCACTCTGTTTTGATTACTTCAAATTTTTTTTGGATTCGAACACAATGGTAGACTGACTCAGTTGCTTGGTTTTATCCTTCAGTAAATTTAGGCAATAATATAAATTTTGAGAGAAACATTTTTTGCAGAAAGCGTTTTACTTATAGTTTTGGCTTTGCAACTGAATATTTTACCCTATAACTAATTCCATAAAAATATTAATTCAAAAATTTAGTTAAATTAAAGTTCAGTAGATGTATTAAATCTTTCATTCCACAGGCTACGTGCCTGCTAAACGAAATATATGAAGAGAGTAATTAACAAATAAAAACAATTGAATAATTGGGATAGATAAATTTTTAAAACGAAGAGGAATATCTTTAGCTCTAAAATTTAATTAATAAAGTAAAAACAAATAATTCAAAAAACTTGTGACATGAGCTTCAAATATTATTCAAGTTTTTCAAAGTTCGAGTATTTTAATTTTCGAACATTCGTGTTAAGCACAGCAAGGTGTCTAAAAATATTCGAACACCATATGATATTCGAGCTTTTGCTATTATACGTATTCGTTTAAAATAAAATGGAACAAAAACAGATTTTTCATTTGAGCAGTTCGAACATTCAAAGTATGCAATCCAAACATTCGAAATCGAATTGTTCGATCATCGTATCGCGTAAATACGTTAAAGCACTAATATGCATTCATTTAGATATAACATCACGTCAAATTTGTTATTCTATTGTAAAAGGCTTGAAAATAAAGGACGTTCAGATTGATTTTGGAATATTTTTTGTGATTTCTACAAAAAGCTATGTTTTACTTAAAATTTTAATAATATTTTTGTAATATTTTCGACAATTAATTCCTGTGCTCATAATATACTGTTTTTGAATGATACACCACTCAACTACTTCATATTTTTGCAAAAAAATCAAACTTGATTGTTTTCTAATGTTTCACAAATGATACTTAGTCAATACGTAATAATTTAAGCCAAAGCGAAATGTATAACCAACCATATCTGTGTATTTGATAGGAACGAAATAAGGCTCACGGTTTAGTTACTCGGTACATACCGTAAGAACTTAAGTTAGAGCGAAATGCACAACTAATCACACCTGCATATTTGATAGGAACGAAATAAACAAAAGCAGCGAACTTTACGGCACTGAGCCGTCTTTACCTATCGCCAAATGTATTGCGGACCGGAAAAATTTTCAATGTGTTTTAGAAGTATGGGTAAAATATTTAATGTGTTTTTGTGAGATTCAGTAGTAATATCTAATCAAAAAGAATATTGTTAAAAACGGAAATGCAATATTTTATCGACGGGTGTTGCTATACTAATGGCACAGATCGTCCTATTCTATATTATTTCAAAATATATAAAATCATACATATCTACGTTACATTAAATTTGCATAGATACTATATGTACATAGAAGCTAGGAAAGATGTTTAAATCATAGTTTTTTCAATTGTGATCATAGACATAGTATTTTCCGAATCGCAATCACTGCGATCATAGTGATTTTAAAATCACAATTTCTTTCGTCATTAAATTAATTTATTTTATTCAAATAAATTTCTGATAATTTCTACTTTGGGAAATATAGAGAATACACTCCACGTATTAAGACTTTTTTATTGCTTCGATTGAGACAGTTCTTCAAATATGCGTAAGTATGTATGTATATGTGTATGCTTTTATCGAACAAATTATTGTTTTTAGATTTTAAGAGTTTATAGTTTTTATAAAAAACAAATATAAATAAACAAAGAAATATGAGACATGTTATTAAGACAACAAGTATATATACATACCGACTTCAGACCACTGTGTAAGTATTTCACTTCTGGTGAAATAAAACAACTAAGTTGCAAGAATTGTTCTTTTGAATTGCTAACTGGTTCATCAACTGCCTCTGGAGAACTCATTTCCACATCAAATGTACCACCAAAAAATTGCTCAATAAAAGAGCTAAAATATTTAATATATGGAACATTTGTAAGTATTCATGATTACATAAACTTATTGACTAAATTTAGTCATTGACTTACTTATATTTTTTCAGTTGTTTTGCTTCTTCAATTGCATTAACGGCTGGTAACTTCTGCTGCAGCATTTTCAGTAATTCAGACCAGCATTCATTAGCATCTTGCTGGCGATAAGTACCATTTTCACCAGTTTGGGAAAATTGTGGTGAAGCACGGTGCAATGTTTGTAAAAGCACTATTGGAGTTACAGTGCTGCCGCGTTCCATTTGCTTAAATAGAAATTTCATAGCTGAGGTAATAGCTAATGCTAAAGACCCAGCATCACCAGTTTCTACAAGAAAACTGTCTAGAGAAGTACGTAGTTCAGGAACGGCGCGCAGGCACTGAACGGTCGCGTTCATATAACACGTGTTCCCTAAGTTCGTGAGTCCAGCAGGCATTTCTGTCTGTAATTAAAAAAAAATGTACGAATAAATTAATACAAGAATTTTTTCTAAGACCACTGATGATGGATATTTAGCAATACTCGAAACAGTAAAAAATTTAATTAATTAAAATAATTTAAAAATGAATATATGTTGTTGTAATTCACTACTTTTCGAAAACATATTTAAAAAAAAAATTGTAAAAATAAAGGTAAATTAATAATGAATTCGACGGCAATTATAATACATATATTACAATTCTAAAATTGAGAAGAGAAACGTGCTTTAATGGAACAATTTTCATATTGCCAGTGATTATCACATTGCTAAACTTTTAAAACATAGGCGGATTAATTAAAAAACTACTAGACAATTTGTAATAGAAAAATATACACTACAAGCATAAATTTATATTGCATAATGCATTTATTTCTACATTACCACAGCGGCCATTTCCGTATCGTTCATGTCTTCAATAAACTTAACTGCGACCGTTGGTGGCTCTTGGTTGACGGGATCTTTCGTTCCTAATAGAAGCACTGTGGCGCCCTTTAAACAATAACTAGTCATTTATATTTATAATTAAATAAAACGGACATTTCGCTACTTACATCCTTGATTTGTATATTCCACTCATTATCTTTTAATATACCACCCTTACACATGACTTTTTGACGTTCAGGTGCCACACCTGTCAAAGCAAAAAGTTGGGCCTTAAACAGTAATGGATCTTCATCGGTGTTTACTTCAATATTTGGGTACATTTCGCGGCCCCACTTAACTTTAACTAATTATAGAAAAAAATAAAAAAAACTATGGTTTAGTAATGTGTCGTGCACACGCTTCTTTCAATTACCCTTATATGTAGGCATCCTAATTTAATTTTGTGCAATATTTTACCAAAAACGTAGTAATATTCTAACAAATTTAAACAACAAAAACTTAAACACAATTTATTTACAGCAAACAATTTGTTTGCTACCGCCGCTTTCTGAAATTGCCGAGTAATGTTCCCTGAATTGTCAATTTTAAATGTTCGGAAATATTTTGACAGATTACTTGATATTTAGAAGGGTTGCTTTAAAAAATATATGCTCAGTTTTTTCAAAACTACTGCGCACACTGATATATATTATCGATATTATCAAAAAATTTACTGGTCTGCTTATTTTAGAAATTAATTTTTTTTAGAACTAGAATCGGCTAAATCGGTTGTTATTTACAATCCCTTTACTATAGTGGCCGTGTGCGAGTTCGAGTAAATTGAGGTAAAGTAAATTGAAATTTCCTACGGGTTTTTTCCACTGCACTTATGTAGATATTTATTTATTTATTTATTGCACTTATTTATTATTTTTGGTTTAAAGTTTTCAAATATATTTAATTATTTATTAAACATTTTATAAAATTTTCACAATGGTAATATCAAAGTTACCTAACTTTTATTTAATTTATCCTACTCGATATTTTGGTAAATACCAACATTCGCTGCCATAGCGATATAATTCACTATTTCCCCCAATTTACCATTTATTTACTCAAACTCACACACGGCCTTAATAGTATTTTCCTGCAATTGCCTTATAACTTTTTGCTTTTAATATAATGATTGTGTTTTGTATTTATTAATGTATTGCATTTCTTAATGAACATAACACAGAAATTATAAGCTCCTTAATAAATTTTTAATGAATGACTTGTTCACAATTATTAACCTGGCAACTTTACAAATTTAATTAAAAAAAACATTTAAATAAATGTTAAATTAAATTTTAAATTTAATTAAATTAAATTTAAACATTTTTAAAACATTTAAATTTACTCATTAACGCTCGGAACAGTTATAAATAATAAACAAACTCCTCTATCATCTGATTATCCCTTTTCCTTCAAAAATTATTCACAATAGATCAGTTTTAAAATTTGGCACTGTGTAATGCGGGTGGTTTATATTTTCACTGCTTACTTAGTAAGTTACTTAGTAACATTGAGCTTTTTGACGCTTACATTAGCACAAGTAACTTAAGGAATGGAAAAGAACTTTTATGTGTCAAAAGTTTCTAGTTATGGAACTTAAATTTTGTATTGTTAGAAGAAAATAATTTAGCATGAAAAACGCATAATGTTTGTTATAATGTTCATAACATTAATGTAGCAGTTGTTACATATAGAACAGAACGTGCAATAATTTATAAAAAAATACAAATTATTTACTTTTTAGTAAGTTTTATTTCAACTAATAATAACACTAATAACTTATAAATTAAAAATAAAATGCACTATAACTATATTGATAATAAACAAAAATAGAAAAAATATATTGATTAGTCACTAGTTACTATGTTCGTTGGTCTTTTCGTGCGGATATCCTCTTTCCATCTTTAAAATTGATTAGTCTATCAACTCTTTCTAGCGTCTTTTCATCAACCGTGTTTCTTTTTTTCTGGGTGTTTCTTCATTATGTGGCCAATATAAATAACTGCTCACCGCTCTCAGTCCACATATTCCCAATTGTTTTGTTTTTTGCTGATATTAATAATATTTTATTTCATTGAATTACAAACATTATAAATACACCATACAAACTTGTGAGTTCTTATCCATCATCTGTCCTGATATATCCAACTAAAATAAATATTTTTTGTTAAATAATATTTATATGACATTGTGTGATGATATCAAATATATATTTGATATATGAACTTATTTTTATATATCAATTATATGTTTGATTTATAAAAAAGAAATATTTTAAAAAATTATTACGTCTTGTTGATCTATGTTTACATTTTGCCTGATTTTTTGTTTATTTATATTTTGTTATTTGTGTCAAAAATGTCAAATTTCGATCATTTACAATGTTGCATTCGTCATTTTTGGTATAACTTTGGTCGAATGTTGTATGGTTAATGAAATTTACTTAGTAAGTTAAACTTACTAAGTAAGCAGTGAGAATGTACTATTTTTCGTTGAGCAGTTTCAGGAAAGTGGGCTTATTTTTGCGACCCGCGTTCTATTGGAGCATTCATTGCAAAAGAATACACTTTATGTATTAGTCCCGTTTCCGATTTGAAAATTTATGCAGGATAATACAATTTCAGTATTAAAAAAAATTTCACTAGCTGTAAAATAAATATACAACTAGAAATAGCTAGAAAGAAATATACAACAAATCCAAATCCTACATTATTTTTTTACTGTCAAGTAACTGTTTACATAAATAATATAAAGTTCCTTAACATAAATTTTATCCAATGAAAACATTGTCATATAATATTCCGAGTATTGATTATAATCCTTTGTACTATCTTTGATATATTGCAGCCTGAACTGATGTCAGCGTTCAATCATCCCATTCAATGCATGATGATACGGTGCTGTGTGAAGGTGTTTAGTTTAGTTAGATTTGTAAGTGCTTTAAATAACTAGCTTTGAAATTGACTTCCCTGATCTGTTGGGATTGTTTTTGGTAAACCAAATCTGGAAATCTATGTTGAAAAAAATGATTTGGCTACAGTATCTGCTGTGATGTCTTTAAGTGGTACTGTTTCTGGCCAGCGTGATGAATGTAAGACAATGTTTCTCCCGCGAACTGCCGTTATTAGCGAACCAAAGATCTTACAAAGAACTTTTCTCTTGAAAACTTTCAGTGCTTCTTTATCACTCTGTGATAGTGTCCGTGCTACACAAAAACACAGGTAGGCTAAGCGACTTAAGTAGCGTAAATTTTCTTTGTTGAGAGAGAGCTCTACATTGTAATTGCCTACTGAGCCCATATTAGCCTCTTGCGGATAAAAGATCAAAATATTCCCCAGGTAAAGCATACCTGTCGTAAAAGGTGACTGAAGTTCCTGCACTGGCTCTGTTTAAAGTGTAAGTGATGGTGAGTGAGTTTTCACTTGCGTTACCCGACCGGAGGTGTATATCTGGTACCACGCAGGTCAGTGCCCTCAATTTCGTTTGTCCTGACCTATTGAGGTTGGCATTATTTACTTTCATTCGGCGTGGAGTAAAGTTTTCTCACCCTGTGCTGTGACCCGAAGATAATCAGAGGTTAAATGGGCCTTGCTCCTTACCAAGGGAATGTTATGCCAAAAACACAATTTTATTTGATACTGGTGGAATGGGGCATCTTTCGCGCATTATCTTGATACATGTGTTTAGAACACCATGGTGTTGAGCCGACAAGGTAAAATACTCTGGATAGCTGAACCCATAGTAAAACCTATTGGCAATTGTGATTTTTCATCTAATCTCCAGACTGAAAACGTTAGTGTTAGATAGATGAAGTTCTTGACAGATTCAATTCCGATAGCAGCAAAGGCAGCTGTAACATTAAGCTTGCTGTTTTCAATATTGTCAATGTCGCTCGCATAGGTAAAAAGCTGATCACATTTGCAGTTTATTGCACTATTGTAATAACCACCTGCTCTGCAAGGGTTTCCTTTCCTGACGAAACTGAAATTATCACATGCTAAGAGATCACTTTGTCTGAAAAGACTCGATTTTATGTTGACGGACTTACGGGTACTGTTCAACGTCATTTTGCAGAGTCGTATTAATTTTACAGAAATACTGAGCTCAGATATAACAGTATGATTTCATGTAAAGCTATCGAAAATTGCTTTACAATCGACAAAAATTTTTGTGTGTGTCATTAACCCTTTTTCAGAACTTGTGAATACTGTAGTATCGATAGTCGCACTAATAAGATCCAGTCAGTTATCCTCAATCTTGTTGTTGCAGCTAGGTGGCGCAATTTCAACATCATCATTTTTAATTTGAGACTCTGAGAGCATTTCTCTAAAAACGAAATTGATATTATCTGAAGCCACACTGATAAGATCCAATCAGTTGGTTGACGATTGGCTTCAATCTTTCATATAGTACGTTTGACAGAACTGTATCTGCGATATTTAAAAGACTGATCCCGCGAAAGATGGTGCAGTTTGCAGGATATATTTTTTGTGGATTGGACAAAGCATACTTAAATTCCAATTGTTGGGCATGCATGCATTCGACCATATGTTGCGAATTAGCTGTAGCATGCAATTTAATAGCTCTTCACCACTAGCTTTAAACAGCTCAGCTCCTAAACCATCGGCTATTGCTGCTTTGTGTTTTTCAGCCGCACTATAGCTGTTTTAACTTCATTACGATGAGGAGGCGAGACGAATATTTCATCGTCAACGATTGCCAGTTTAAAATCACTTACGCTTTTAGTCGCATCATTTCCACCATTTAATAGATTCAAAAAGTGATTCCTCCGAATGTTATGTATGCTTAGGATATCTATGACCAGATTACCATTTTGATCTCTGTAGGAATTAACCCCGGGCTTATAACCATTTGCGAGGCTTTTAATTTTTTAATAGAATTTTCGAGCCATACTACTCGATATTTTCACGTCTTTCTGTTTCTGCTTTCTGCTGATGACCTATAGGTATGTTGACTTCTGTTTAAAGGATATTTTAGCAGCTTGGTGACTTCTAGATAGTCCACTATTACCTTTTCCATAGCTTTAAGCTGACTGGCCTGAATGACTTTGCTTATGTGTAATCATTCTTTCTTGGCTTGGGAAAAAAGTCACCCTTGACTCTCTCCAAGCGTTAGGGATGTGCCCTGTTGTCAGTGACTGCGAGCAGATCAATTTTCCATCGCAAGAGTGCTGGCAATATGCCATCCATCTCCGGTGACTTAAACGAAGGGAATGTCAAAATAGCATTCCTACATCCAATCTTTCCTTTCTGTTCATTCCCTTTTTGGGAAAAGGCCAGTAATCATTATACTTGAAACTTCATGAAAAATGGGTTTCCATGAGAGTACTCAATGACTCTCCTACGGTTTCCCTCATAGTACCATCCTTCTTTCGGATTAAACCAAGTCTTGAGATCGGATCTTTAGTGACCATCTTTTGTAACCGACTTATTTCAGAGGTCCCTTTCATGCTCAAACAGAAATTCCGCCACAACTCCGTAATGCTGGTTTGGGGACAAGCGTTTCCGAATGGATTAATCATCGCAATCATCCTTTGGTTATCAGCCGTTAAAGGTTGTCCATCACGCTGACCAACAGTTCTTTTACCAACCAATGCGGGTCGGTTAAGTACATGATTAGGTACTCCACCTTGCGTATTGATTGAGTCTTTGACCATCGATTCAGCTTGGCTGACATCCTTTACTGGCTGTCCACCATCAGAATTATCGCCTGTGGTTCTAGGTGAAGAAGTCGAGCTTGCTGTCCGAGCTTCAGGGCATCCATCCTTATGCCTCTTTGCTAGCTGTTCTTCCTCCAGCGCTGATTCAACATGCGATAGTTCGCTTAGTCGATCGGCTAGTTGTTCAAGCTTTTGCAGCCTTTTGCCTTTCTGTTCTTCGCTTCTGCTTCTTCCTCTTATTCAGATGGATACGCTCGGCTAAGTCGAGATCAGTCTTTGTCATGTTTCCAACTTTTGTGGTTAACGGCTCAGCCTCTTGCGGGGTTTCAACGTCCACCATTTAATTGGTCCCATGATTGTGATGCGTCATGGTATCTGAAGCTAAGGTTATCGGCTCAGGCGAGGCCTCATTGTCCACCTTATCAGCGTCAACCAGTTCGCCTTGTACAGGTTTAATTAAAATTTTATCAATTTTGTTTCCTTTAGTGGCGAAGAGAAATATGTCTATCTGCGAAGAGTTTCGCATTGCACAGGCAACGCTGTTTAAAACAAGAAATCGCCAGGTATCCAACGTTCGCTACTAAAACTGCTTGTACCCTAGCAGCTAAGTTAAAGGCGTAGCTGTTCCACTTTAGTTTGGGAGGTTTTATTTCTAATACACACTTTCCATTTACTCACACATTCATTCAATCATTTTCTCTAATAATTCACTAAAAGGGTGTTTTTCTTCACCTCCGCCCGACTCTGCCTCAAGCGATAAGCAGAGACATCTATCAGGTCACTTCACAGTTGACCTGATAGATAATCGCACTTCCCGAAGGCTGGTCAATTTAGCAACTTAGCTGGTCCCTGCAGTCCGTACTTAGTCTGCTAGCAAAGGGTTCGACTTATCAGGAATTGTAGCAAGCTACTTTGACCTGTGCGCCCCCACGTTTTCCCAGCAATCGTTGATACTCTACTTTGACCTGTGCGTTTTCTCTTTTAGTCGCGTTTTATGACAAGCAGAGACATGCTGTGGTGTTATTCTTATCCCACCACCACACGGGGTTGGGAAAAGCAAAGACAGGTGCTTATTCTTAAAAGAATAATTCTTTTAAATATAAGCACCTTTTAAATGTGCTAATGAAAATAAGAGATCCGAAATATATTTTGAAAATAATTATATCGTATTTTAAAGACAGATTACTCTTATATGATTCAGAATCTGGTTTCAAAACATATAAGGTTACGGCAGGAGTTCCCCAGGGATCAGTTCTAAGGCCAATTCTATGGATTATCATGTTCAATAATATTCTTCGAATCGAAATGCCGAACAGAGTGAACGTAGTTGGGTATGCAGATGACATTGCAATTGTGTGTACAACGCATGTACAAAAACTTCAGACGAAGTGGTTAGGAATTGTAACGCTACTATCGTGGTTGCAATACAGGGGATTGAAGCTTGCTGAGCATAAAACAGAAGTTCTATTAATCAGCAGTAGGAAATAAATTGAACGGTTCTCAATTAAAGTGGGAGGTGTAGACATACAATCTAGCCCCAACTTACATATCTCGGTGTCACCCTAGACATCGAGAGATAAAGCCTCAAATATTTGCAATATATTATCCTGTTTAACGCCAAATACATGCTATATATTGTCTCTGTGTGGGCGTATACTACAACAATAAAGTCAGTATACAGTATCGGGCAATGCCGAGCTAGTATTGGTTGGACGTATGCCAATAGACCTTGAAGCGCTTGGAGATAGTTTTTCCTGCACTATCGTCTACAAGCTAGTAAAATTAAGCAATCTCTGTCAGATTCTTATCTAGAAATAATAGACAAATAACTAACATATAAATGACAATAAAGAAAGTATAAGACCGCTACAGTGTACCACACTATTGCCTTCACTATTCACTATACGAAAATTGCAATAAAATTCGCAACAATATAGCTGTCAAACTAATAACGACAGAAAGCTCAAAATTATTCATTTGACAGTTCATTGGCAAAGGAGCTGAACGTATCGGGAGAAAGGATGCAACACATTTTGAAAAATGAGCTCGGACTAATGCCATTGAAGTTGAACAAATCGCATGATCTCGCCGATAAACAAGAAGTTAGAGTCGAACGAGTCAAAGTGTTGGTTCGTTCGACTGAAGGTGGTAGGTTGCCGAATTTGGTTTTTTCTGATGAGTCACCATTCGTGATTGAACACTACGTAAACAAGCAAAATGATCGAGTTTACTTGTAAAAGAGGTCAGCTGTAATATGGCGTTTACATTGGCCGAAAATGGCTCATTTTGGTCAAAAATCGAAAATGAGTATCGAATGGCTCATTCTTGCATATAAAATTTCAAGCACAAAAATGAGCAATTTTCTCACATTCTGTATGAAAGACGTTCGAATGCATTCCACATATGTTCCAAATGCAAAGGAATCTATTGAACATACCCTAAATGAAAGCTCTTCATGGCATTTTGACAGTTTGAAAAAGCTGTTTTGACATATTTACAAAAAAAGGTAAACAAATGTTTGGTGGTTGCATTTTCTTTAAAACGATGCACCAATTTTTGGAACTTCTACTTCCCAAAAATAAATAAATCGAATCTAGAAACAAGTTTTCAGTTTATATTGTAAGGTTTGAAGGTATATTTAACCTTCCTGTAACATTTTTTTGGCACAGACCAAAAATTAAATCAACATGTAAGTTGAAAAATCAGCTGTTTGAAATGAGAAAAAATGAAATATAACGAATGTAAACACTTTCAAATGACTCATTCAGAATGAGCCATTTTCAGCCAGTGTAAACGCCATATAACTTTAAACATGAATGGCCAACAGAAAGCAGGCGCCACCGATAGTGATGGTGTGTGTCGCCGTAACGGTCGATTATCACTCTCCGCTCGTGTTCATTTACCGTGGGGTAAAAATAAACATCCAAATCTATTGAAAAATTATTTCATAAGGAGCACTAAAGCCGTAGGCAGATACACATTTCCGTCGCAGGTGTTGGACAATCCAACAGAACTCATCACTATTGCACAAACCTCTTATCAACTAAGAATGGTTGAAAAACAATGTTTCAACACAGTGGCCACTGTGTAAAACTGATATAAACTCTTTAGATTTTTCGGTCTTGGGTATTTTAAAAAGTAATGTTGGCATAAAAAAAAAACCAAAATGTCAATCCTCTGAAGCCAACGCTAAGCCGAGAATGGGTCATATTGATCCAAGATAAATTAACTTAAAAATTTATAGTTATTTTCGCATATAAACAATATAGAGCGTTTTACAATTTATTATTATTGTTACAATTTTCGTCAGCAATCTTGTAAATATTTTTTGGTTGCAACGACAAATTGAAACGTTCAAATTATTGTACTCAGAGTTTTATAAGTCAAAAATAAAAATTTAATCAACATTTTTTATTCGTAGTACTGTAAAAAAGAGTTTTTTCAGTAACTTAAAATTTTGTTCAAAAAGTTTTCCAAATTATTTAATAAATTAAATGACATAAATTCCTACGATTGGTACACAAAAACGCCTCTAATTTGAATAAAGTTTTGGGCTAATGTATAGAACGTAGTTAGATTGACGTTGCAGTCAACGTGATTGAACAACATCAAAACTGCTTGACGGGTTGTGTGTTGAGCGCATTAAAATTACTTTTCAATATACAAAAATACTTATTTAAGCTATATTGAGTAAAACACCCTGTGTACAAATGCTAAATCAGCTGTGCGATTAATTGAAATATAAGTTGACTTAGTAAAAGGTGTGAATTCATTTTTACATTTTTTTTATTATTTCTTAATATTGTAAATTGAAGACATGGAAGTACAAACTGAGTCAATGCCACAAAAAAATGCAGCGGAGCTAAGACGAGAACTTCGTCGAAAGAAAATACTTTGTAACGCTGAAAACAGGCTACAGAAGTTAATTGGCGGAACTGTTAACGAAAGTCAGCAGCCAAAAGTTTATGGTAATATTAATTTGTTATTTGTTATTCATAATGTTTCAAAACTAAACCCACTTAAATAGCGCTTATGGTGCAAATATTTTATTTGTTTTAAGTGAGTAATGTCTACAGTGCCGGCTTTACTAGTTGCAATGGAAATATTAAATTTTACTGTCTAAAATTTCTTTTAGTGAATGCTCGTTTCTTGAAAAATATATTTTCAATATTTATTGTTTTGGAATATTTGAAAAACCCTTTGACCCTTTATACGAAGTGAAGCATTATCATACAGGTTCTCTCGTACAGTGTACATATGTCATTTGAATTCTGTTATGAAGTCAACAGTGAACTAAAGCTTTTATAAAATGAACAATGTTTTGCATGTATTAATATTTTTATTAATATAACGTTAATATTGTATATATATATGATATATATCTTTTGTTTATATTTAAAAACACTGAAAAGCCTGACTACTTTTAAAAAAGTTTTTAATATAAAAAATCTATTTTTAAGTTATCAAAATAACAATGAATTAGAAATATTTTAAAAAATTATTGAGTTTCAATTTCCAGGGTAATCCCAATCGGCAATGAAATTTAATTTAATTTGCTTTATTTTGAGCAACCTTTTTCATAACGCTATTTACTGATATGATGTACTTTTTTAAATATAGAAATATAAGTTTTTAACTTAATTAAACTAATATGACAAACCTCGTCTATTGCTAACTAGTATATGCAATTTTTACAGTGATTAGACAAATAATACATAACTATAAATGGTAAAAATACATTTGTAAGGTTGTTATGGTTATATATAAGTTGGACTAAATATTGACTTGATAGGAGAAATACCGATAACTCAGTTCTGCGTTTAATCTGATTGCAATTTCAACTTAATTTTGTAATGAAGACAACTAAACAAGAAATACTTAAATTATGTACAATCAAACTTCCATAACTTGAAGTTTCTATAACTCGAACTAAAAAGAGTGCAACAGGGTTTTAGAGAGCAAAGTACATACAAATCTGCTTCTATAACTCGAATAAAAATATTGTCACGCGTTAATAGGAATATGGGCAACTGCATTCTATATGTCGAAGTTTTGTTTTAAGTATGAATTCATCTTGGTATTAGGGGAATTCCCTTTTTCCAAACTAAATGTTTAGTTTTTTCTTTATGTTGTTTTTTCTTTATGTTGCGCCGAATAAGACTTCTAGATTCCAACTATCGCAACTACTATTTACTATTCTTGTAAAAGAAGCACTAAAGCGTATAGAAGTCTCCATAAGTCGAGCCTTTTCTTTGCAAAATGGTACTTCGAGTTATGGAAATTTGACTGTACTTCTATGAACTCTTCGTCTCTTTCTAATAGGAAGAGAAAATAAATTTAAATTTAATTAAATTCAATTTAGTTTGATAGTAAAAAATCAAAATACTTACTTAGCCTAACAAGAGAGCGCATCTGTAGGTCGTGGAGTGCATAACTGGTCACTGACTTTTTTGGACTTATGTCGCTTGGCGGGAAGCCCTCTACAAGGAATATTACAAAAGCTATGAAGTTAAAAAGGGGACAATAACAGTGATACAGTTCTGTAAGTGCCCGGCAGTATCTAGAAATAGAGAGAATTTCTAAAACGAACGTCTTTAGCTCCATCACAAAGTTGTCCAACACTTATAGTAGATTTATAACTCTGTGCGCTTTATAAAAGCCTACAAATGATTTTATAAGTAATACAGTTAAGGTCTCATGTTGAGCAATGGTGTCACAATAGACAATTGCTACATGAATCTAATCTTGATTAATTTAGTTCAACTAGTATATAGCCTGTACGTTTAAAAAGTTTTAAAGCTTTGCTGAAGCCAAAAAAAGAAAATAATTTTTATTTTTTTGTTTTAGATGATGTGGTACAAGCAAATGATGCGGATATAACACCAAGTATTTTAACGGACCCGTCTACGATATTTGAAGCTGCCGACTATCCTCAAGAACTCACCACAGTTTCAGAACAAAACGTACATCCTTTGTTCCGTTATAAAATACATGTAATTATTCCTGCCGTTATAATATATTTATATACCTTGCATTTTTGCGAGGAACAACACAAAATAAGCTTGCTGCTGCCGTGTATAATTAGCTCTATTATGGAAATGTACTTCAATCGCAATCGAGAAAATTCCATTATGCCATTAGAAATGGCATTAGGTTTATTTAAAATTAATTTCAAAGGATTGAAATATATCGCCCATATTCGTAATGTTGTATCGGATATCGCGTTAATAATATTCATGTTTTGCATTATTACATACATGCTAACGTTTGTAAATAGCAATTTTCTAAATTTAATCCAAACTACATAAAACATATAATTCTCATAACGTGGTATGGGTGGGTGTGTTGTTATTATCTACTGCACTAATAAAAACTATAATAATTCTTTTGGATTTCAAGTTTTGTACTATTATTAATTTGTAAAAGTTAATAAATGTAATCAAGATAAATAAGTTTGCCTTTACATTAAGACGTTTTACGATTAAGTGTTAAAAATATTAGTTTTTTAAAAAAATACTGATTTCTCTAATCAGTTGGTAGACTAGTAATATAATGTATAAAAGTTATAAGTCTTATTGAAATCCGATATCTTTACTATTGGAAAATGGTAAATTTTTCATTTATATTCGAGACCTCACAACAATTAACAGTTAATTTTAAATCAAAATGTTAGGTTTAATTCATTAGAAACTTTTTCGAAGTTTAGTTAAAAAAAAATAACAGATATATTCGTTCCTTTAACTTTTTTTTTAAAAGTTTGTGTAAGTATCAAGATATTGTATATAAAGAGGTTTATTGCGAATTTAAAATATTTTAATTTATCTGAAGTCACATAGCAATTTTAATTTTTTATTTCCTATTCGTTATCATATTAACATTATCATATTATTATATTATTACATATTATTATTATCATATTATTCGTTAGCAATTAATAGCGTTCATTTTTACAAAAACAGGACTTATAACCGAGTAGCATGTAAGGCGTATTTTCGGTTACTCGGTAAAGTCATAAAGTCTTATGTATATATATCTTTTTGATGTTATCAAGTTATCGAGGTTATAGAGTTCAGAAATATTTTTCGGTTATAGGAAAAACATCAGTCGATTCTCTTGATTTAGATGTGTTCCACAAGTTTTAAGTAAAATTATAAATTTAAAGTATTTAAAAAAATAATAAACAAAGAAATATTAATAGTTATAAAATATTAATTTAATTTCAATTCTACTTTTTCTATTTTTACGTCATTTGCTTGCTTATATATAAGACAAGCAAAAACGAAATCATCTGCCTTGACAGTTTAATCTTAGGGCTTAATCCAAGAAAAATAAAAAAGTGGTGTTCAGACATTTATTACTTAAGGTCAGTTCTACGTATTACCTACAGTAAAAGTAACTTTTAGAATATATAAGTGCATCGCATCAAAAAAACCCCCCTAATTTCGATGGCATTTTGTTTAGATTTTTGGATGCAGTGGTGGCGCTAGGCGTCGGCGACATATTTCTTAAAACTTTAACTCTACATACCAGAGAAAATTTGATTTTGTTTTCCTACGTTTCTTACTTATAACAATGGAGAGCGTCGCACTGATAATCGCAACTGTGTTAAATGTGGTAATCATGATTTGTTTTTGACAAAGGAACAGTTAAGACTTGGTAATTGTCAGTAGATTAACATTAGGTAAATTTGTCAATCTAGATCACTTTTATTGTGAAATCCTTTTTGCGAAGACTTTCTCCAACATTGTAATGCTCTAGGCTATACTCAACGATCATTAGACTCAACGATATACATCCTGAAGGAAGCTGCTCAAAGTTAAAATTGATTAAGACCTACTTGAAAAGTACGATGAGTCAAGAGACTCATCTGCATTGGCAATTCTATCAATTGCAGCAATAATAGCAGTTGGAGCAAATTATGATATTTGAAAAAAATTCATTGAGGCTAAGAGCAGAAAAATTCATTTATCTTAATTTGTATTTATTTTTCTTTAATTTAATTAATTAGTGAATATAATTTATTTACTTTTATGACTTGGTAATTAAAGGCCCGTGCTTTGCCGACATACAGAGTTGGTATAGCGCGGCTATGGTTTAAATGTGCGATATAAGTTTGTAAAACTTTCAACTTGACAAGCTCATCCTTGCAATAGCCTACGACATTCTTGTGATAAAGCCAGAAAAGAAATATATTGAACTGTGTCCATATTTTATCCAGAGATGCGTGGCAAGTAATTGTTCTTGGAATAGTTTAAACTGAACTCAAGGGCTGTAAAGCAGATAATTTATATATTTATATACATATGTTACTGTATATATCATTAAGGTAAGTTACAAGTTCAATATATTAGTTTAAAAGCCTATAATATTTTTATACTTACAACACTTTAAGAGAACTTCACTAGCCAATATAAATTGTCAAATCATAAATAAATAATCACCTAATAAAATAAAAAATCACTCTAATGCCTGGCATTCAGATAAAAAGTCAACATTGAATATGCTATAGAAATTAGGAACGGGAGATATATGTATATTTAATATTTCCTGAAGAAAAATTATTTCTTTGCTTATGAGATTAAACAGCGTAATGTGAATCACAAATTGAATAATGCTATGAACGCAATAGTGCTCAGGAAACTAGTAACATAGAGTTTACTTTTGTGCCTTATCCTACTTAGTACGACTCAGTACGAAGATTTGTTTAAGCTTGTATTATCATGCAATGCAATCATGATTCCCACTGAAGGTATTTTGCTTCCAATTAAGTTTAAGTTTGCCAGTAAATAGTTGTTTGGAACATAGTAAAAGAGATGGAGAAAGAGCTGGCACCAAAGTGTGTTGTACCTTTGTTACTCGTTTGCATGCAGATTATCTACCCAATTCAATGGTTTAATGCTGTTGATTAGTAACTAACATAAAAGCAAAAATCATTCTGTTGAACCCTCCACAAGAAAGCTTACTAATAATGAGTTCCACATTTTTAGTACAGTACAATAACAGGGCGTCTTTAATTAATTTTAGGGTACAATTCCGTGAATAGTCGATATGACAGTATATTGCAATATATAGCTTTCTGAACAGAAGCTACCCCTTCTCTCTTTATAACCACTATCACATGACTAATTTGCTTCACCATCGTTTTAAGTTTTCTACTTTCTGATACCTTAAACCTCAAAATGTATTGGCGGTTTTAATACGCTACGTTAGGCCATGCATACCATATTCTGTATGGTAGACATGGCAGAGCTGGTCTCACTCCAGCGACAATTTGACTCCCCAACGGAAGGTAAATAGTTTCTTATGCAACTTGTGCACTGTGAAACGACAATAACGTGTTTGCGCTTGAACTGGGTGATCAGGGCAGACGAGTGATGCTGAAGGAGCTGGAACATTAGTTTTAGGAGTTGTGTGCAGCTCAAAAATGTTCGAATTGATATATCTACTAGGATTATTGACGACAAAATGAGTTCCAAAATTAAATTTGGTTATTCGACTTAAACGAAATTGACGCAGATCGCTGGTGATAGCCGCTTACAGAAGAAGTAGAACCATCTTATCTAGGACAAAACTCGGAATAAGTTGTTTAAAACTTAGCTATTTAGGCAAAATTTGAAATATTATTATCCTTTAACGCTCTTATGGATCCTGTACAAAAATGTAATATACTTAGAATGTGCGGAGTATGACTGGCAATGCTTACTTACTTACTTATTTAGCCATAACAACCCGTTACCGAGTTGTTATGCTGCAAGGCCTGACGCATCATGTCTCCCCAGGCGCTTTTGCAGCGTTTGCGCCTTCTACAGTCTCGTACAGCAGATCGGTTAGTGCTCCCTCAACTTGATGGCTAAACCGGAGACACAGTCTACCTCTACGCCTTCTTTCTCCAGCTACTACTTCAAACACCTTTTTCGCAGAAGCATCTTCGTCCATTCTCACGACATGACGAAGCCAGCGAAGCCGCTGGATGTTAATTTGTTAAATTAAATCAACGTCGTGTTAAAGCTTGTACAGTTCATAGTTCATTCGTTAGTGGTTTAACTGGTAATGCACTTGATTTTAAACAAACCCTCGGACAGCGTAGTTGAGGCAGTATGTTAGCTGCTTTATGTTGGCTTCGTTGTAACGTTTGTAAGAGGTGACATAGACTTCTTGTTAGTGTTGATATAGTATTCAATCAATAGTATCACATTCGAGCGTGACGTAGCAAGTGATTTTATCAAACATGTCAACACCCTACCATTTTAATATTGAAATACTTTTATTACTTTTTGGAAAACCCGAAATTTCAAATTACAAAAGAGTTTTTAATAAAGGTAAACTAAAAGTTAAAAGTAAAAAATTCTCCGAAAATTCTTCTCCGATTTGATTATTGTTAATATATTTATGCATGGTTTGCATTTAATGTTTGACTTTGGAAAATGGAAGAGGTCTCAAAAATCTGATATCTTGTCAACGTCCATTTTTGGTCTAGTGCCGCCATTGCATATATGGAAAGTTGGATGACGTAGTCTGCTATTCTATCTTTGTGTGAATACCAATGATGTTATTGTATTGCAATTTAACCCATATCCGCTCAACGTTCGATTAATCGAACAGTAAATTTTACCACTTTTCATGGATTTTTTGTTTATATTAGAAAAAGTTTAGAGTTTATACTCTAAATTCATTCATTAATACTTTGAATGTATGAAGCTTTAGCTTTACAAAAATATTTGTGACTTCACTCTACACCCCACACCCCCTTGGTAATTAAACTTTAAAAAAAATATTTTGACCAAAAACTCCAAAAAAAAATCCTTGGGCGGATATGGGTTAATGTGTATAATTTTTTTGTCAAATAATACTTCATTGCTCTCTAAATTTTATTACAGATAAGCATAACTAATTGAACGGCTGCTTTGCTCATATGGAAATAAAGTCAATGCAAAGACTTTGATACAATAATAATAGACTCTATGCTGGAAATCAAATCAGTATCGAAAATTGTTAAAATCGTACTGAAAATATTAATATATTGAAAACTTTTTGTGAACTATTTATTCTATGCACCACTCGATTTTTCAATGCTATAGTATTTTTCATTTAATTTACTATTTTTGGAATTATAAAAATATTTGACACTTTCAAAAATTCAGTCGCACCCTGACTGCTGATTAAAACACATCGAAAGGGGTGTATACAACTATTCTCCAGATTTCTAGACAAAGCTTTGTATATTTTGCAGTAGCAGCGAAACGCGACTGAGGCAGCGTAACAGAAAAACTGACGCCGTAAACGAACGGCGCTATAGGGAAAAGTGCACAAACAGTGCTGTGAGCCAATCACAAAGCAGTAATGACATAAAACTGAAATGGCAAATTATTCCACAGGCAAAAAAAAA